AGCTCAGAACAGCTAAAAGAACTATCATGAATTGAATTTTGGGATCTTTACAAGAAATTGATGCCTGAATATCGTTCAGGACACAAACTTAGCTATTCACCTTCCAAATGGCACTGCTCAACTTAGCAAATGCCTCGACTTGCAGAAATTCTGGTAATACCTGACATTAACCGAAGAAAATGTCAATAAAGTCGGGGAAAGAAGATCTGCACAAGATTTTATTATGCTAACTTACATCTGGGCTTGAAGCAGCATAATTTGACAATCTTTCCATCAACTGAGACAGCAGTATCTTGATGTCGACAGTTGGCTGAGTACCAAAATCAATTCAGATGAATGAAAGAAAAAAAGTTCAAACTTCTACGGGATCTATCAGTTTATCTCTCTTAGAAGACTAGCAGCATTAAATATATCCTACTTATGGGTTCTTGAAGATGACAAATTCCTACTTATGAGAAGCTATACCACACAGCCCTGCATCATATCAGTTGGAAAAGAAAGGAAAGAAAAAAACTTGAAAGTATACTGCTCAGTGTAGGATGACTAGGGGAGATACCAAGTTTTTCTTTCTTTTAGAGAACAATTAAGTAAGCCATCTTTGTTCCAAAATCCACTTTTTTGTATCTTAAGATGAGCATGTAAAATTATATTTGCAGTTTGGCAGTGATAAAGAGTCAGTTTGAAAGGAATTTTTCTTGTATCTTAAAATGAGCATTAAAATTATACTGACAATTTGGCACCGATAAAGAGCCAGTTTAAAAGGAAGTATTTATACTCATCAGTGAATTCAAAGTTCTGGTAGAACATAGCCCCCAATTGCAAAGCTGGCAAGCTTCCCATCCAACTTGGCAATACTTTGATCTTCCCATGCAATAGTTGTTCTTACTGGCTAAAAGATCTGGATGTTCAGGCAAGTCTCATGGAAACTGTAATAATATGACTGCCACGATGACTTAATCAACCAGGAACTCAATGCTAGTCTCCCAACAGTTTAACTAATTTTTAAACACATAAGTAACCTTCATTAAAGTTTAATTTTGTGGAAAATGGAGTTAATACAGATGGATAAGGGACGAGGTTGTAGAAGCGGTGTCATCATAGCAGTAGCGGCAGTGATTGCAAAAAACTAAACAATTAAGTTGTTCTATTTATAGCATCACACATGATAATAAAAACAGTGAGGTAAGTATAAAAACAGCTACCCACCTGAAGCTGAGAGCAAGAACCCAATAATGCCTCAAGGGTCTGCAAATGGTATTCATCTGGGAAGACCTGGATCAGGCATTCCATCAGATAATACTGGGCAAGATCATCTTTACAGTTGACAACCTGTTCAAAGACAATTTTATCTTGATATTACCAAAGAGTATGATGCAAGTTTTGGAAGAAACAAAATTCAAAGTCAGTAACCAGAATGACAATAATAGCCGATGCCTATAATCGGTCATGGTACCTGCTCCAAGACCCCGGGAAGAACAGTTTCTTTGTATATTCCAAGATCCACACCCTCTATCTGACTAAGAACATGGAGGTTTTTCCCTACCTGGAATGATTAGTCACAGTTAATTCATGTGTCCTAATATAACAGAAATGAAACTTGGATGAAGATAATGTCAGATTATTACGAGATCACGAAGCTCACTCCTTTCTTTTTCCCGCTTCTCCCTAATCCGACCAGGACCCTGCGACTAGAATGTCAGATTGAATGCCTCAAACCAGGATCACCATAGACAATGAATGACAGACAAGCACCATAAAACCTACATGCCAAAAAAATTATAATTTCATGATGCACTAGTAGCATGTAATTGCAGATTCTATGGCACCGTGCATGTCGTTGAAGTATAGCATAAGGGTGAGCAAGATTCACCTGATGCTGCAAGCGGACCCAAAGCTTATTCATTTCAGTAAAATTTTGCAGCACAAATTCAACAGCATCCATAACAGTGTCGCCATCTCTGCAGGTTGACATAGAAGCCGATACATCAATGGGCCAACTGATCAAGACTATTAATTTGTAGCCAATCACCGATCACGTCCAATTCTTACTATATACCACATAAGAATGAACGGAGCAACCGACAGTAACCAGAGAAGATATAACAACAAAGTCAGACTAATAGAGCCACAACACTTCAGCGCTAGATGTACTCTATAATTTGGATCTATAAGAGGATTTAATTCTCAATAAACAACTTAATGTATGTAGAAGAAGTACTTATGAACTACAAGCTTGCCAAACATGGTATACAGAGAGAATGCATCAAATCTAACTACATTATCCTGGATAAAAAGAAGGAAGGAAGGAAGCAAAAGTTCAGCATCTTAATGAAATTCACCACAAGTACAAACTCAGACATGTTTCTTGTCTCTTTATACTTCCTTGAAGAGTCAATCTCTACCTTGAACAGAACCAACAAGGGACAAAAATAAGAAAGCCCTTTGAAATTCGAAGCATGAACATAAAATAGAGCGTCATTAACGTGTATTTTGTGGCATTTTTTTTAGCGAGCAAACACAAATTTATTTGCCTGTTAGAGTACGAGCGTCATCATTATTGTTGCCCTGTCTCACATCCAGATCTATATCCAGGAAGAGGAGGCTGGCCTTATTGAAGAACTTGAATGTGAAGTGGGAAAGGATAGAACGAGTACTCATACCCTTCATATTCAGAACCAATGTCTGGTAACTTATCTCTACTGACTTGAGATAGGTAACTTCTCAAAAACAGGCCCCGTATTGGATGCTGAACACCACGACACATCTCGACAAGATCTTTAAGGATATCCTTGGCAGGTGCTTCCTTGGACTTGATGTACACAGATCCCACAGTACATAGGAGATAGCTGGAATTCCGAGAGAAAAACTCAAAATGCACCCACAAGACATTGGCAGGGAAACAATTATGCGATCTAAGTGTGAGTGAAGGATACACATAATAAGATGAAGATAGTAATACAGCTACAGAAATGTTGTCAAGAAAAAAGATATGTTCACATGAAGTTAGAAACGAAGCGTCATAATACAGAAAAAGTTACTACAGATGTAACGAGTGTATTGGATGAGCCAACATCAACTCCTGGAATTAAGGGTCATTTCATCTGAGAATATTGATTGGCAGCAGTTGTGTGTGATTTAATTTATTCTTTTTTGGCAACAGTTATGTGTGATTGATTAACGTACATGTTATAAATAGGTTGATTTACGTACACGGTGTGAAACGAATCATACACACACATGGTTCTCTCATCCACGTGGTCATTGTGTGAAATAGGATGTCATTGCCACCTTCATAAAACATCCAGACTTTATTTGTTCAGGCTACCGACCCACCAAGTATTAGAGGTAGCGGCCTTTTGGTGGTGGGTCGCCCTTATGTATCACTATAAAATCCAAGTAGGATAATCCCACACTTTCGGCTGGTGCGCTGCTCAGATATCGTTTATAACGACTCAGCCCGATTCATGGGGGCCAAGCCCCCAAGGAGCACCAGAGGTGGTGGGTGGCCTTTTGGGGCGGGTCTCCCCTATATATCGGTTGATAATTGATCTCTCTATCAATTCGGGACTACTCCAGCCCATGCAAAGGACACTATGAGCTAATGCTTTTTCCTTCACACTTGACAATTTACAGTAATTGCCTGACTTTATCCATCATGACTACTCATAAAAAGGGTTTCTAGATAGATTGTAGGGGCGGAGAAGGTTAAACCACACACCACAAGCTACCATGCCATAACAGCTGAATTTGGTTTTGAAGATTGTGGATTTAACTAGTACAGTAGATATATCGAAAGGAGCACGTTATAGCAAAGCTGAGAAGACACAAAAAGTAAGGAAAAGTAGGACTCAGCCACAATCAAATTGTAAACAAATAAACAAAAGAAAGAATTCCCGCAAAAAAAAAAAAAAAGACCAAAAGAGAAGAGCGAGGCCATAATCAAAAAGATTTTCCAACATTCCCGTCACTTACAGTCGGGGCAATATGTTGCCAGCATGTTGCACGAGCTCATACAAATCGACTATGGAAACGCCATGTCTGCTTTCGTCCTTGAAGAACATCTCCAGCCTCCTCAGCTCATCGAAAGCTCTCATATCTAATGGTTCACCAAACCCAAAAAAACGGCTAAATCACCAACAATACGAAACGAACGAGCACACTCGGCCAATTGCCTTCAAGTTCAAAACTACCGAACCGTATCGAAAGAGAGCAACAGCATCACTACGCCAGTGACACCAGGGAGGGGGGAAAGAGAGACAGAGAGAGAGGACATACAGAGATCGTAATACTTGTGAGGAGAAAGATTCGAAGTCCGGAGCTCGGACAGCATCAGAGCCGAATACTTGAGAGCTTCTCTCAGATTGTTGGCGTCCTGAAACGAGAAAGAGGATCGGAATAAGAACCACCGCGGAATAATCCAAGAGAAGGCTTAAACGGAAACTCCGACGCGACGGCGACGGTGATCGGAGGGAGCTCGGAGGCGGCGAGGAGGAGCACCAGCGCGCGGTGCATGTAGAACGCATTCTGCTGGATGGCGGCGATCCCTTCGGCGAGCCACTTCTCCTCGTCCTCGGCGGCTCGTTCCAGCACCATTGACGGTTTCGAGAGATTCGACCCCCTCCGTATCCAAGGAAGAAGAGGAGGAAGAAGAAGAGAGAAACGTAGTTGGGAAGGAAGAACGAATTATGGCGAAAGCCGTATGCGATTGACGAATTAGTTAAAAGCCAATTTTTCTGCGTGCGAAATCATTTGCCACGTGGCGGGGGCCTACACGACGCGTCGATGTGACTTGGAGCTTGACAAGATCTTCCAACATGACAACCGTTTTTCAACAATTGACAGTTCCACTGTTCTTCCAATTGCATGCAAAGGCTTCGTGTAGCATACATGACCCACATCACTTCATATGAGCAGGGTCAAAGGAGATGACCCACAGAGACCATTCATTCCCTCTTTATCTTTGAATCAAGCAATGACATTTCCAAACTAGACAAGGCAAAGGAACAAAATTTCTCTTTCGTTTTGCTCAACTTATGTACGTTTGTGCCGGCTTTACAAAGTGATTTGAAAAGGGGAAAAAAAATCAAAAGGGAACAGTATAAGGCAGGGCATAAATCTCGGCCGCGGGCAAATAATGGGCTTGCGGCGGCCACGAAGATGGGATTACGACATCGTCCCCTGCTTTGGGTCGCTTTGGGCCTTTGCCCTCCGCCCGCTTCGTCTGGAAAAGCCAGTCTTCGTCGACAGGTTCATCGAGTCCGTGATCCAAAGGAAGGGGCACCCAATGATCCATCAGAGCTTCATATGCGGATTCTAGCTCTGACGATTCATTTCTGGACGATGAAGGGACGGTTTGAAATGCTGTATCCAATTGAGCAGAGGTTTCTGGCTTCGCCAATACAAGCTCCCTTGAATCAGCAGAAGGGGTATTGATTTGACAAGGCGCATGACTTGTCTCACGCAGGTACTTGGGGGGAAAATCTGCTCTTCCGGATGTAGTGCACTCGGGTTGTCCAACAAGTGGACTCTCGGGTGCTGCTGCTCGTTTCAGCCGGATTCTGAGAATGTTGCCTGTGGTGTCAAAAAAAGAAACGAAAAGATTAGTCATGTCCAACCACCAGCACCAATCAGCTCCAATGTTAATGCAAATGAGCAAAACTTACCTCGTCTTTCGATGGTAGAGGATGAGGCATCTTGTCTACTCTTGTTGCTGCTCTTGCTCCCATCAGATAGGTAACCAACTGGTTGCTCATGCTCTTCTGTAATTGAACTCTTCTCCGCCTGCTCAGAGGAGTCTTTACTTGCTGGAGGGGAGTCTGAATCAAAAACTTTTCTTTTCCTCACTCCTGCCGGTGGTTTCTCATGAGATGATCTCTTTACCTTACTATCATTAATGCCCAAGGGTTTCCAGTGGGTTTCTGTCTTCTCCTTTTCCCTCTTGTTTGGCTTACTTCTTTTTGTCTCAGCCGCCTTCTCCTTTTCCTTCTGGAGCTTTGAAGCACCAGAAGAACATTTAGCACAGAGACAGGAAACCAGGGGACCAGGGAACCAAGAAGCAAGCACGACCAAGCATTATCACAAAGCATTGGTCGCAACAAGACAAGTTTTCTAGTTCTTTCCACATGAAGGTCCAGACACATTCAGATCCGATCAACCCACTCACCCTCCCTCAACCAGCAGAAAAAACATGATAGGCAGAGGTAGAAAACGTTTTTTCTACCTGTTGCTAGTGAACATCTAAAAAGAGGATAGCATTGGCAGCTAATACGATAATTTTTCATATATTTCATCATCAAATCCAATTAATAATAAACCAAATTCAGAAATCCATAGAAGGATGCGAAACAAGTAAAAATAAACAGATAAAACCAGAGTGTGCTCGCCAATCTCAGGAAATAACTGCGTAACCAGAAACAGCTGTTTTAACAGCATCATTTCAAAACTACATCGCCATTGAAAACAATCCATATACCCAGTTTACTGTTAATCATTGTAAACTTGTCATTGTAGCAGGATTGATAATTCTATGCGCAGTTTGACCTCTCACAAAACGATTTTAATTTAAATCATTGAAATTAACCCAACACAAAAGAGAGGATAGGTGCATCTAGCACTTCAGTCAGCGTAATTCGTATTTTAGATTGAACTACTTGTGCACCAAATACCAAGCAAAGGCAACCGGGCAGGTACTTCAATCTTCACCAAAAGAAATAAATCGGCACTTAGGCCGCATTTGCTATTGCTATGTCCTATACCGATGGGAATCGATGTTATGGAGCGCAAATCTGAAAACAATGCCTCACAAAACACAGAAGATGGACAGAGTTCGTTACTTTCACTTGCATACTCCATAGCTCTTGCCTCATCATATACAAAACAGAGCAACCACTATTCCAAGATCCAGAAAATACGTGGACAGTCAACGTCTACCCCTACACGCAATACAACCTTCTACCTGGGGTTCACTCAACCTCAAGACCCAGCAAATGTACAACAGATCGCTAAAACAGACCCCCCGTCAATCACGGGGCCCGAAGAATCCAAGGCCCCTCAGGCATCATCGATACATCAATCAATCAAAGACCCAAGTCGCGAGAGAAAAACCGAAATTTCTCAACCAACCTTAAGAGACCCCATCAAAGTCTCCCTCAGCGTCCCCCTCTTCACGCATCCCTCGCGAGGCGCATAAGGAAAGCAACGAGACATCGTGCCCCCCAAAATCCGCCCTTTCGCTTCGGCCCCTTTTCACCCACGAGAGATCACGGGGAGCGCGCGCGGATGGATCGAAAACCCGAGTCAATCCCAACTCGAGGTGAGGCTGGAGAGAAGCAGAGCGCAAATCCGGCCACAGAAGCGCGAGCGCGAGAGCGAGAGAGAGACGGAGGAGAACTACGGAGGAGAACGCGGGAGACGTAGAAACCCTAGCCCCAAACCTTTCGATTTCTTTCTATGCTGCCGTAGCTGCAGGCAGGTTTGTATTTATAGAGAAACTTGCCGACTTAATGAAGCGCGTTCTGTGATATTCCGATAATGCCCTTTCCAGTTCCGTCTCCGCTTAGGCCCACAAAGAAAAAACCCGAGCGCGGCCGGGTCGGTCCTTGTATTGGGCCTAATGGTCTCCTACTCGGGCCCGCCCATAATTTGTTTACTGTTGTTCCCAAACTTTTTATATATATTCAATTTAATTCATAAATTATATAAAAATATTTAATACAATTTTATTAATAATTTAAATTCAAAAAATAAATTAAATATTTATTAAAATTTTGATATTGAACGAGTTAAAACTTCCTCAATAAATTTGGCCAAAATTCATCTTCCCTGAAATATCGGTGCCAAACGTACGGCTTGAAGCAACACGCGCCACCGTAGCGTTTTCCGTCACGCGCCAGTTCCACGGAGAACAAGAACCTTCTACGTGTTTCAAACTCTTCCCTGCTTCACTTTCAACCTAGCGCTTCGCCATTCGCATCCTCGCCATTCCTCTCGCGCTGAAAAGCCTCCCCGGTTTCGGAATCCGAACGATGACGAGGTCGATCAGAGGAGCCGCCACTTTGGCCCGAGCCGCCGTAGCCGGGGCGGCCGCCACCGGCGCCGCCCAGCACCGCCTTCTTCAAGCGGCGCTTCGCAATCCCCAGGCGAGCGCGAGCTCCCCGTGGCTCTCCGAGGTATCGAGCGGCCGGCGTTGGCCGGTGATAACCTCCGTGTCCAATGGCGTCGCGGGGGCCAGGCTCCTGTCCGCCGCGGCGGCGATGTCTGCGGCTCGGGCAGAGGGCTTGCGCGGGGCGAAGTTTCTCCCCGACGACGTCGTCCTCTACCAGTACGAGGCTTGCCCTTTCTGCAACAAAGTTAAAGGTGAGCTACTCAGCTTTCTCTAGAATCTCCGCGGAGCTAAAATGGTTCAGCGAGCGAAGCGCTTCGCTGTGTTGAGTATGTGCTGCTTCTTATTTGTGGGGGGAAGTAGTTAGTGGACTTTGGCCCTGGAAGGTTCTAGAGAAAATTTAGGAAAATAGTTCTTGACCAGGAAGACCAAACTGAAATGAGAGAATGTAAAATGCTGAAGTGTGGCTTTGCTTGTGCTGCTGGGATATGGTATCTATCATGATTGTTAGTTTGTCTGTTAGCTATTGTTGATTCTGTATCCCGCATTTGGTGTCATTTATCTCATGATCGATGTTGTTTGATTATTCCCCCCCCCTTTCAGCATTCTTGGATTACTATAAAATCCCATACAAAGTTGTGGAGGTCAACCCGATCAGCAAGAAAGAGATCAAATGGTCTGATTACAAGAAGGTGCCTGTACTGATGGTTGATGGAAGGCAGATGAATGACTCTTCAGGTTGTTGATCATTTCCCTGATTCCTTTTTATCTAATGTTCGATCTTTCATGTTGATGCAATTAATAATAGCTAATTTTGGAGCATTCAGCCTTTTTTTCTGAATGCGCAAGTCTTCAAAGGTCCTTATGATTTTCAGTCACACTCTGCAATGACCGGTTTTGGCGTGTGCAGCTATCATTGATCAGTTGTTCGAAAAAATTCATCCTGGGGAGTTGGCGGAAGATGAGGAGGAGAGGAAGTGGCATGGGTACAATTAACTTCTCTGTCATTCTCTTTCTGTTTCTGGGGATTCTGTGACATTTCATTTCCTTTTCTCCAAGTTCCCTTAAATTTCTCCTATAAAGTTCCACGCAATCCGTCTCACCATTGGTGTGTAATATGACTGGATGTAGGTGGGTGGATAATCATTTGGTTCATGTTTTATCACCAAATATATACAGAACTCCTTCAGAGGCCCTCGAGTCATTTGACTATATTACTACCCATGGTAAGGATGACTCATGCATCAGTACTCCTGTTTTGTTTTTGGTAATGTATCTGTCTTTCGAGGAAGCAGCTCGCTGGCTGTTCCCTTTTTCTTTTCTTTTTTTAACTTTCACCCCATTTAGTTGCTAACTGTTGATAACTTGTTCCAATTCTAACAAAAGCAAGCAATTAGTGTGGAAAATTTTGATGTCACCGTTATTTTAATACTTAACTGTAGTTGCTAGTTCTTTACAAGTGAAAGAGCTGCCTGCAAGCTGTGTGAAAGCATTGTGCACTTTACTGGTAGCTAGCAAGTCAACGATGGGAACCTCAACCTATGAATGTGCATCTATATTTCCAAAGAGCATGATCATCGTTTACCTTGTACTGAGCCATGAGTAGTGAGGCTAAGCTAGGCGTGTCGTTGTGCTTTAGTTCACAGTAGTTGACTTGGCAATGCATTTTTTCTGGGAAGGTTTATTTTGGTATAGCAGCAAGAGCTGACCATGAGTCAAGCTGTTTGTTTAAGGAAAAGGCAAGTGAACTCTGATCCAGCCCATGGGAGCTTGGTCCACCGGCTCAAGTTTTCATTTATATCTGCAGTGATATGGTATCGCAATTGTTGTCTATCGCAGGACATCAGTTTTGAAGCATCCTTAATTCTTAGATCATAGCTGTTTTGAGTATAGCAGGGTTTTGAATCCAGAAACCATCCCTAATTCCCAGATCATAGCTGTTTTGAGCATATCCAGAGCTTTCTGGGAATCTATGGAGTTTCTTTTCTTGAAGATAAACAAGTTCAGATTTTCTGAATGCCCACATCTTTGGACATGCACAACCCAGTAAAATGAGTTGACAATTATGACACTAAGAGTTATACACTGTGGCAAAAGTCTGCAACTTATACACGATATAACAGTAGACGTGCAAAGGCGCTACAAGGACTTAATCAACATCCATGTGGTCTTCCTTTTTTTTCGTGACTGATCTAACCTTTTGTGGTTGGGCTAACGTTGCTGCTAATCAGGATCTTTCATTTCTTTTGATCGTTTTTAGTACTAGACTCACTGAAATTTATTGTTCGGCTTGGGTTTGGCTCTAGGACCTATAGTTGAAGTGCCTATGGGATCCAATAGCCATACTCCAGTTTCATCTATTTCTAGTGTGTTCTAAGCGTCTACGGGATCTATACTCTAGTTTAATCTATTTCCAGTGTTGCTTGGTTTAGTTTGTCGTTTCTTTTTCTCTCTGATCTTGTCTATTTCTCATGTACTAGAATTTCAACAGATAATAGTTTTAAAGTGCACCTTTCTGTATACCCTTGTGTATTTATTCTGCTAATTGCGAGGAAATGGTTTACTTATTTACTATTGTGCTTGCTCTATATACTACAATACATTATGATTATAGTTTGATGAGCATCCACAATTCTAGGCAACTTCAGCTTCATGGAGAGGTTAGTTGCTAAGTACAGCGGAGCTGCAGCCATGTATTTAGTGTCGAAGAAGTTGAAGAAGAGACACAATATTACAGATGAACGCGCAGCCTTGTACGAAGCTGCCGAAACATGGGTGGACGCCTTAAAGGGAAGGCCATATTGTGGTAAGCTTGATTGGTTCTGCTCATTGGTTGGTCAGAAGCACAAGAAGACTGCTGAAAGACTTGACTCTCTTTTCTGGTGGTTGTCTGCAACAGGTGGTGTAAAGCCTAATTTAGCTGATCTTGCTGTTTTTGGCGTGCTGAGGCCAATCCGGCACCTCCAATCTGGGAAAGATATGGTGGATCATACTCGGATAGGTGAATGGTATGACAGAATGCAACGTGCCGTGGGGGATTCTGCTAGGGTAATGACTTAGTCGTGGCACAAGTCTAGGGAAAGATATTAGAAGGCGGCGGATGATTTTGTGGAGTCGGCGATGCCCTGAGTCTCATAAGAATCTTACTCACCACACCCCCCCCCCCTCCCCTTCTTCCTTTTTTCTGTTTTCTGTCAGCATTTTGGGCTATTTCTGCTGTTCTTTATAGCAGTGAGAGAGTGCTGTGTCAATAAGTTACTTTTACCATTTCGGTACGCATTTCAAATAAATTGTATGCGCAGATTGCGCTATAAGCCAGCAATTCATTTGCAAGCGATGGGTGCATTCTATGGAATGTATGTGCTCAGTGACCTGATGCTTGCTTTGCCGTTTACGGTCCTAGGATCGCCTTCCGCTGCTGCTTGACTATGGAGAAGCTTCTTAAACGCCACAGAAGTTGACGTAGCATCTGCGGAGACATTTAGGTAAATGAGAGCCGTGTGTGTGCAACTTCTAACTGAGGTTTTCTCTGTATGCAAATGACCACTATATCTGTCCTTAACCACGAGGTTTTGGTCATATGGATCGAACGGCAATGGACGCCTACTCTACTCATGTTCTTCTTCAAGAATGCGATTTTTTCTGCGTTTTTTGGGGATTTTGACCCTTGGCTGGATCCTTTGGTCAGTTTTTTTCCAACAGGCCAACACTGTTTACTCTTGGAATAATTCACATTCCCTTTTCTGCATTTCCGCACCTAATTAAACAAAATAGCATAGTAAAATACCTCAAATTCTCGTGAAGTTATTTCTCCTCAGTAATTGTCCTCAATAATTATAAGTTTTTTTTATTAGTTTTTATAAACGACAAGTTAGATACATCCTCCACATCTAGCAATTCAGTCTCGCGAGGTCGAATATCCTCACGATTCGAAATCCTGCGCGAAGGATTGTGTACACAATTTGAATTTACTGTATTCTAACGGTGCAGATTACGTACCGAATCGGTTTGCGTTAAATCGCTGGAGTGGAAACCATCGTATAATTTCCCAAAAATCAACCAAAGCCACTATCGGACGCCGGAGGAGACTTGACTTTGGTCCCCCGCCCCGGGCCTCTCCCGTCGGTGCCGCGTGTCCACGTCCCCCCGCCCCACCCCCGGAACCGAAATTCCAATCTTGACCTTGACCTCACGGAACAAATAATTCAATCACGCCGGCTCACCGTAACTTCGCGTGCACCAGACTCCACCCAATCCCCCCCTTCTCTCTCTCTCTTCTCATTTCCGCGTTCCTAAGCAACAGAATCATCTTCCTTCTCCTTCTTCCTCTTCTCCTTCTTCCTCTTCGACCAACAAACCAACCCAATCTCTCTCTCTCTCTCTCATCATGCAGCAGGGCGACTACACCTCCGCTCCGTACTACCTTTACCCTCACCTGCCGAACCCCGGCCCGAACCCTAGCGCCGCCGATCACCCCCCGATCTCCTTCGCCTCCGCGCCGCCCTTCTCCTCCGGCTACGCCCCCTCCGATTTCTCCGGCTACCCTCCCTACAACGCTCCGCCGATCCCCGATCCGATCGTCGCCCCCCCGACCGCCCCTTCCTACGCCCCGCCTCCGATCTCCAATTCCAATCCGCAAGCCCCGCCGACGCCGCCGCCGCCGCCCCCCTTCGCCCCTTCCACCCCGCAGGCTCCGTCCTCCTTCCCTCCGTTCGATTCTCACGCCCCGTACCAGGCGCCTCCGCCGCAGCAGCAGTCTTACTACGCCCCTCCCCCGCCCGGCCCGTCGCCCGTGCCTCCGCCCGGGCCCTACGATCAGCATCAGGCTGCTGCGAGCTACCCTCCGCAGTCCGCGATCGCGCCGCCCCCTGCTCTGAACCCTAGCTCGGTCCCCAATCCGAGCACGAACCCGCCTTACTCGTCCGTCTATGCCTCGTCAGCTCCGTACAACCCGCCGCCGTATGAGCCGGCGTATGATAATTCCGTGAAGTACGATCAGGGTGGCTCGTACCTCGATGATAGGTACGGCGGAGGATATGGTCGTAGCATGTCCGATTATGGGTCGGATTTCTACAGGAAGCAATCGGATGTTTCGCAGTATGGCTCGGGTTCGAGGCGGGACGATGCGTTTGGAGATGGCGTGTATGCTTATGAAGGAGGGAAAGTCGAGCCATATGGTGCTCGAGGCACTTCTTCGAAATCATCGACCTGGTCTTCTGCGTTCGATGATTATGGAAGACCAATCAGTTTTCCTTCTGGGAAGGATTCTTCAGTCAGCTCACCGAAGATTGTAAGAGCAGTGCCCAAGGCGGAGACGCAGCAGGATGTGAAGAGTGGGGTCCAGAAGTTTAGGGTGAAGCTCTTGCCTGAAAGTGGTTCTCAAAGTACAATGGATGTTCTCTGTCAGGTTTGTCAATGACGGTTCACTTTTCGTTTAGATTTGCTTGTTCAATTTGCTTAATTTCTACCTCTAGAAGTTTATAGTGCAGAGTAGTAAGTTCGTCGTTAGTATTTCAGTGCTACTGAATTGGACTCATTTAATAATTAGTTCGTCTTAAATCAGAGGCTAACCCAAGATTCTATGGGGTTCTAGGACAGATGGACTGTCTGAGCATCAAAGTGATTCATTAAAAAAATAAAAAAAAAACCTGCAATGTTTGGGTAGAAATTGACCCGTGCAGCTGAATATATTACAGCTCACGACTGATCGAGTTGTAATATTATGATAGTTTTCATTGTGATTCTTCACTGCAAGTGAACTGAAGTAACTGATTTTTTGGCTGAACTGCCATAATCATTTTAAAATCCAAAGCAAAGAAATTTTCTGTTTTTGGGCAACACCTGTTTTAGTTCCAAAAGACCTTAGCACATCCTACACTGATAGCTCGTAAGAGATGCAAGGTTGTAATTTCGTATTGTCTTCATTATTCCAGTTCCTATTATACTCTTTGCTTATTAACGAAGCAAGTAAAAGGATTGCCTGCCTTAGATGGTAATTCCAATATGTTTTTCCATGAGCTCATGTCTTAAGAAGTTGAAGATATGGCCTTTTGATCTTTAATGTCTTGAAGATCGTTGTTTGACTAAATAATTGCTTGACAGATGTGTTGGGTGGATTTATCCTAAAATTATGTGGGATTATGAGGAATGTAGATGTTAGAGATTAATGCGATGCTAGCATCACTGTTTGTAGATGCCTTCAAAAGACTAATACCAAAAGAATTACATAAATTTTCATAATCAATTAATAATATAACTGTTACTGACCAAATCATTTAATGGGGAAGGACACTGACTGCGTTTGCTGTAGAAAAAGTTAGTAAACAATGTAGACTAGCTAAAAGTGGAACGGTGAAAATTGGTATACCTGGAAGGTTTCTTGTTAGTACCATATTAGCCCAAATAGTTAGGTCCTGTTTGACAACTTAATTAACTGCTGATAATTGAAAAATTCAACACTTGATAAGATTAAAGTAGTATGGTAATACTGACTAATTTTGGCTTGACAGATTCATTTAAGCAAAAATTTCTCTCAAGAGATGAAGTCAGGAAGTAGTTAGTTAATTTGTTTGACGGAAAAGCTCTTGTGGAGGTTAGAACTTTTACCAATTATATTGCTAAAATCTATCAATCATATCCACAACTCCGTTTTGTTGAGAAACTAATAAGATGCAATGTTCATTTTTCAGCTTTTATTGAACAACCTTTTGTTTTCATCCTCAATACTTAATGTTATCATAATATAAGCACTTGTTTTGTTTTCTTAAAAAAATTTCTTTCCTACTTATATGAAAATGTAACATTTTATAGGTATATACATGTCAATATTTGCAATTTTCTGAAAGATTTCTTGTGTTTTGCATTAAATAAAAATCAAATTATAAGCACTGCAAGATTTGGAAAAAAATAACTTAAAAACCATACAAATCAAACATATTCAGTGTCTAAATTCCCAGAACTTATTTTACAATTTTATTGAACAAGCTGTTCATCCATTTCTCGATCACGTTAATAGTTATCCCACCCTCTTGCTGAATGCCAATTATTGAAAGAGGAGGAATAGAACACCTATTAGTAAACTGTCATAATTCCCTTTGGCATCGCTAAATCGTGGTGTGCGTGCACTCATGTGTATTTTGTTGCCCTACGCCCCGGGGGGGGGGGGGGGGGTGGGGAAGGAATATGGGGTGGAGAACACCTTTTATTGAACTCACTGATTTCATTACTCTTCAGATTATCTCCTCAACATGTTCTTAATATTATCTCTTTGTTTTGTTGTAACATACCTATTGTAGACAAGATTTGCGACAATATAGTAGATTGTTTTGTCTCTTTCTTGCTTCTATCCTTCAGTCATTTGGTGGTTGATTCTTTTGTGACTAACTCTTGATGTTACATATTCTTTTTCAGATAGGCTTGGATGGAATTCGTATGCTTGATCCTTCGACAAGTCGGACTTTGAGGATATACCCTTTGGAGACCATCACAAGATGTGAAGTGAGTTGCTTGTCCTTGTTTACATGTTCTTTTACCATTTTTAACTTAATGTTGACCTATGGATGCATGGTGCCATGCAGGTGACGGATTCCTCTATATTTTCATTTTGGTCAAAGAGTTCTGTGGATATTGAACCAAGGCGTATTCGATTACAATCAAATCGTTACACAACCAACACACTCCTTGATACGGTGACAGCTGCGACTGTTCAGGTAGAATGCTACACCTGTATGTACCAATTATGGGCATGGTGTAGTAGATGAATAAATTAGTGGCAAGGCTTGTCCAATGTGTATGTCTTAAGAAAAGTTTTTACCCTGTTATGTTAATATGTTATGATTTATTGCCACTTATGAACGGATTCTTACACTTTATAGCCGTCGCCTAGATATTGAGTATTTTCATGCCTTTTTCCTCACTTTCATATGCGTATTGGTGTGAGGCCTAAGTCCTCTCTTTCATGTGCATATTGATGGGACTTGCAAGGCCTGCAAGAACGCAAGCCAGGCCTTCATTCGTTTCCAAACTTTGAAACCTCACTGGTTTGACCGGTTCGACCGGAACTGGTCTTTGGTCTGGTCAGATTTGGACTACTAAATTGTTTATGGCCAAACTGGCATTCCAGTTTTTAGAATTTTCATCCACGGACTTACTATTGGATGTACATTGCTCATAACAGCCGTTCATCTACTGAACCGATGGTCTTTGTGAGATTTGAACATTTGACAGGAGTCCGAGGGTTGAGATGCACTTGTGCACTTAAACTGTTGGACCACATGTTGTCCATACTCGCAAAGAAATAAATTCATATAAGGATCCATATCCCTGCATTGGGCCATCAACAGAAAATAGCTCCATGGTTCAGCTGGTGGCTTATGTGCTTTCTGGACTGACAGTAAATGTTTTACGTGCTCCAGTTAAAGGAAATGGGTGGAAGGAGCAGGCCTTCTGATCCTTTAAAGACAATTGAACAGCCTGCAGAGAGGAAGAAAGGTTTTGCTGACTGGATGAATCGGATGAAGCCTGGCATTGAAGAGAAAGATCACTGGGTATAACCCAAAATCCATTTTTTTTCTTTTTTTCTTTTTCTGTATGCTGATGGAATTGATGTTATTTTATTGCATTGTCTATTTGGGAAAGCATACGGTAGTCTTTTTGTTGCTTGTGGCATTTGACCTGATGCTGAGCTAAAAGTTCCGTCAGTCCATGGCAGCTAGTTTAAGCTTTGTTTAATTTTTCCTGCCATGGTTTACAAGTAGGCTTTTGTGAAAACAGGATTATTTGGAGATCTTGATTCTGCCTAGATTTGTGAAACTCTATTGAAGAAACAAACTTGCTCCATGTGGACTTGCACACATGCCTTTACATGAACTTGGAAGCTCCATTAGGCAAATGGGATGGAAATTTTAGACTATTTAGAATTTTTCAAGCTTTGCTGGAGTCTGTGTACAGATATACTCACCTTATGTCTTTGCACACCTGTTTGATTGGTTCTCTTACAGTGTTACCATAAAATTGCCTCTTTGTTTTGAAGCATCTAGTGGTAGTCTTTTGAAAAGATGGATTCTTAAGCAGGTTTTTATCAGCTTATGTTATGTGGCCCTTCCAACTTTTTAAAGATATTCGTTTTGAGCTATATCAATTCTCGAGCAATCACACTTGCACCAAACGTCTTCAAATTGCTTATGCATATTTGCTACCTTGAAAACCAAACATTCACCAACCAGTGTAGCTGGCGTGAGGATTTTTCCAGAGTTAGTACAAAGTACTCTACAAGATTTTGCACTTCATAATCCTTATTTTATTGTCCATTTCACAGAAGATCTGATAATCATAGATGTCGATATCCTTTTGTATCCCGGACCTCCTCCTTTATGTGGGCTTGGACTACTAGCTACATAGAGATCTTGTGCAGACCAAAATTGGCTAACAACTTGTGCTATGCCATCATAATTGTGTTTTTTTTTTCTTTTGGTTGTTTGATTGTACTTGTGTTGGTCATTTATGTCATCATCATGTTTTATGAAAATATAGATCAAAACATGTCAAGCGTGTCATCTTCAAGTTAATCATAGTCAGCGTATGCGAATGTCTCTCAGTTAATTTTTTATATGTTAAAAAATTGTCACCCTTTGAAATCATATTATATTGTGTTTTACCTGGCGTTTTGTATGCATTTATTCTCATTCTTAATGAGAAATTACTGTCAAAAGCGTGGAAGTATTAAATCATTGGTTTTCTTAGAATATCACATCACCCTTGTTTGCCATCAAAGTTACTCATGCTCCTTGGTTTTTACTTATTAGGTTCCCGATGAAGCGGTTTCGAAGTGTACAGGTTGTGGAACGGATTTTAATGCTTTTATTCGCAGGGTACACATCTTTCTATCACCACTCGTCTCTTCAGTGTTCATCTGTATACTTTTCCTTCATATCTGTGGTTTTTTTGGATTCAGCACCACTGCAGGAATTGTGGAGATATTTTCTGCGATAAATGTACCCATGGTAGAATTGCCCTAACTGCCGAAGAGAATGCTCAACCAGTTCGCGTTTGTGACCGTTGTTTGGTATATTTCTAGTTTCTTTGAAGTTAATGTAGAAACTCCACACGTATGTTAGTATGTGCTGGGGCCTGAGACCTATTATGACTTGCAAGAGGCTGGCATATTGCACTCCTCATACCTTGTCACTTTAAACAATGTGGTTTTGTAGGCTGAGGTTACTCAGAGACTGAGCAATGCGAAGGAAACATCTAGTAAACCGGTGGGATTTCAGAGTCATGAGGACCTTGCAAGAAAGCTTCAGGTAGTCTTTCTGATACTTTGCTTAGATAGCTTCATGGATATTTTAAATGTTCGTATACATGTTTTCCCTGTAATTACTTCGTGGCAAAGTCTTGCGACAACTTTGCGCAATCCTTTTTGAGGCTCTTCTGAAGGAAGTGTGTTATCATGCTATAATTTTCTGACATTATTTGTCTGTGACAGGAGGAGATGGAGAAGAATCGTAAAGGATCAGTAGGTAATTTTTTAATCTTAACTGGATACACTGTCCTCATCGCAGCTGTTTATTTTCAGAGGATCCATCTTTTTAATGTATCTCAGGGATTCTGTCATGAAAGTACCCTTTTTTGGCTCAATGTTAGTTGAGCTTGTGTCTATTGTTGACAGAAGAGCTGTCTTTTTACAGGCTCCCAGTCAGATGGTTCTGGAAGGAGGATGAAGGAAGTTGCCTGTCCCATATGCACTGTTCATTTGCAGGTCTGAGACCCTTAACCTACAGCAGCTCAGAGATGTTATGTTGGTCCTATTGTCTAATACTTAGATATTAAAGGGGGTCTGTTCTGGGATAATTGCAGGTCCAGGTTCCGACCTCTGGTTCTGAGACTATTGAATGTGGAGTGTGCCAGCATCCCTTCCTCGTGAGTGCTCACTAGTGCCACCCTCTTTGGGCGAGGAGGCTTCTGCTTTATAACTTCTTCGAATTGTTTAGCATATGTGGAAAAGGGCTTTGGATGGGTACAATGAGGATTAGCGAAGTATTTAGTAAATTCCTTTGTTTTCTTTGGAAAACCTGAGCCAATGTCGGTTATTCACGATATAAAACTGTATATTGAGATTTGAGTTGGTGCTGAGTGTGATGGTGACTTTTGTACATGGATGAAGTGCAGAATTGTCAGTGCAGGTATTGCGGTGATGCATATCGCATACCAGTGGCTTGTCACTAGTTACCTTTCGATGTAAAAATTATTTGATCATGTTGATCCTGTAACTTCTTTACTTTTCATTTTTGCAAGTATATTCTTTGGCGTTTAAATTTTAGCTACCGTTTGCTTAGGCGTTCACTGTCGCATAACTCATAATCAGCAAGATCCGGGGGATAAGTTGCAATAAAGTGGCTTAATTGTGTCGGGATGCAGTTTGGTCATGTTCATTTATGCCATGGGTCAGGTGTTTTCCATACTACAGAAAGGGATTCATCGTCGTGCACCGTCTAAAATGGGCGCTCCAGCTCTTTTGAGTTGAGGAATTATGCTCAGAATGGCGATTCCATTCAGGGGCGGCCTCACTCCTACCCACCAAATTAGTCTATTTGGGTCTGTAATGGCAATGCCTACCATAGTCTAACGAGAAAGCCTGAATAGCCTAGACCTGAATGGCCTTGATTTGATCCCAACGCACATCCATCATTGAATTTCCCGAACTCGGAACGCAAGATCTTTTGGCTTCTGTTGTCCCATGAAACAGAAAACTTGCGAATGTTAAGTCTCTGTATCGTTCACATGGCTAACGTTTTTAACTGTCTTATGTTCCTTAAATCTCTTTCCACTTCTTGTAGAATTAAGTTTCTCCTTCCATAGCGTCTCCAGTTTGTCCCACTGAGAACGTTAACTTGCACCCGATGGAGTGTACTCACTTGATTTTTCTATCCTCCTGTTGAACGCTAATCATTAGGATTCAAACTTAGACTTCATTTGTTTCGCAGAAAACGAATGATTAGAAAAATATTTTCCTAAAAAATGATTGTTTGTATTTGCGTACAAAACAAAGCTGAAGAGCTTTATTGGAGAGGAGAGAGCAGATTCTATTGTTGCCAACGGCCTGTATACCGTGGCTGCAGAGTGGTGACATCGCAAATACCTCCTTTCATACCCCGACTCGGATATTGGAGTACAGCGTTTGTTCTTACACGATACTTTTGGTGCGTTCGGCTTCACCCTTCTTGCAGCTACTTTAATTTTAATGAACCAGCGTGGCTTTTGATCGTTCATGTAACTATCCATGCCATTTATGTCGGTTTTTCGTCCGAGCAATCGGGAAACCAAGAAACCGATCACCTGTTCTCAACAAGCTTTCGATCATCGAACTCATGAATGGCACCCTGCGCATATATAGTTTGTCTAACTGCGCTAGAGAAGCTAGAATCTCCAAGACATCTTAACGTGCTCTAACCCATCACGTGTTATTGCTCTAGGAACTACACGGAAAGGGTGCTAGGAGGATTGGTGTCTTCACGTGTCCCGTCGGGTGCTTACCCTCGCAGAGAACTCTGGCCGGTGAAATTGAGAGAAGATGTGTGGAGAATTACAATCAAATGGCTCAACTGGAAGCTATCATCAGAGTTGCGTCACCTCAAGGGAGCCTTCCCTCATGCCAGGATGGCCCTTGCCGACACCTACGGCTGTGTACTCGACATCCTGAAGAATTTAAGAAGATATGGTAAGACTCGGTACAAAAATGTCGTTGCAACAAATTAAATGTAAACTGATTACAGCTTTTGGTCGTTCACGGTGGTTGCACACTGAATTTCAACTCGGTATTGGAGATGGTGGTCTCGAGCTCGATTTTCTCTCACAGTGACAATAGATTTCTCTGCTTTCCCATCGCGACAGGGTTCAAAATCTCAGGCCGAGGGTGCTGTGGCTCGGGTCTAATAGAGACGGCGTTTTTGTGCAACCAGTGGGAGTTTTTGACATGCTCGAATGTTTCAGGATATGGGTTCTGGGACAGCTATCGTCCAACAGAAAGTGTCCACAAGATTATCGTCCAGAAGCTGCTGGCGAAGCTCCTGGTCGACCTATGCTCATGATGACGACGACAACGATGATATTTTACTGTTCTCTTCATACTACGGACAATAATTAATTCTTGTATGTGGAGGAATATGTATAAGTATACCCTGGATACAACCGACATGGAATGACAGATGTTGGTTAAGTTCGAATACAATAGACCAAGTTATCTATATGAGTTCATTACTGTGTTATGTCACATACCATCATCTAGCATTAACTCAAAACTTCAAAAACAGTCCACTAATTACTTTAATAGAAAAACAAGCATACCGAATTTACTCATTTAAAAAACTTCAAAAGTATTTATGCAATTAAGGAACCTATTTATAGTATCCGATAATCCAAACTCAACAATAATTTTCATCCAAATTTATAATTATTATGTAATGTCTCATCTGGATCTGTCGCTCTGATGCTGGAGTCGGAACTGGACGAGGATACAAGACTCGGTGCGTGGATGGAGATGAAAAGGTCAAATCCCTAACACGTAGAATGGAAAGTGAACTCTGATGATTGCAATGATGAACTGAGCTGGGGTTTGAGTCTCAGTGGGTCAATTGAGGGCCAGTCCAGATGGGATCGTTTTCAAGCCAAATCTTATCAAGTTCCATGTAGGCAAGAAACTCAACCTGCGCCCTGTCATTGTACGTAATTGATGGGAATGCCTGATTTAACAGCTCCTACGGTTTGGTCTAACTGGTCCTTTTAGTTCCGTACATGTAACAGGGCCAAGTTCCAATTCTTTTTGAGGTAGGGTGTTAGCTTTCTTCAGTTATATTGGTGGCAGATCATTTTGTTTCCTTTATCACATGCAATCACTTGGATTATGACCACATGATATTGAATTGACATGCTTGAGAAAAGGGTAGGAACTGTGCAAGTTGTCTAGTTTTGATGCTCTGTCAGAACTTGCAAGCTGAAATGCTGCAGAACTGCTCGTCATCAAGGTGAAATAAATAGACTATTGAATAGCATACCAGACTGATCATTATCAAAAAAATTGATCCTAGATAAATGGTGGCAGTTTACCTCAGCCAAACAGAGGATGAAATGACTCTCTGATACCCATATCTCCTATCTGCTTACCATTGCTCGGAGGGAGCTTCAGTTTAGTGTTGATTTCCTGACATCTACTAATTGCTGGGGGGGTTCTTGCCTGTAACATTCAGCTCTTGCAAAGCCACTTTGAATGGTCATCTCCTGTCAAAAGTATGATCTTGCCGTCTCACTGATTTCCCATTGTGTACCATCATCCCCCAAAAAGATGGTTTATCTGTGCTCTGTCTTGACTGATTGGATGGTTAGTTTTTTTGCAGTTTTAAAATATCTCTGTCGATCGGTTTGTTTCATCACGTGTCAATGCCACGTGATACAGTAGATGTGTGATATATGCTGTCATCAATGTGACTAGTAAGCTGTAAGCACCTCATCTTGCTTGCTTTCTTATGCTTGTCGCAGCAGGGCTGCTTGTTTGAAGTTCCAGCTTGGGATGAAACTGTCAAGGCTACAAAGAAATGCGAATATCAAGATTTTCTGTCATTTTTTGTTAATGGAAAAAGAAGGAAATTGAGAAAATGTACTCTTTAAACTAAATGAAACAAGCCTCAAACATTTGCAATTCTTAAAGAGGAAAATATATCAGGCTATCAGTACCTGTAACCAGATTAATCATTGTTATGGGTCATTGTTTATGGAACTTCCATAGGCAACACAATCATAACCAATTGAGTTCAACATGAATACGACATGTTTTCATTGCCTTTTGTAGTCATATTGTTAGCTCAATCTCTGACAAGTACTCAGCGTCTTGCAAAAGGTTTCTATACTTCTGGCATTAATCTCACTATAATTTCGGGTGTCTAGTTGGGCTTTCCCATTATTAAAGCATGCCACAAGTACCAGAAATAACTGTCTGAGGTTTTTCTTCATGGTTGTGAGCGAGACACCAGTGACTACATGCTATGCTTTTCCTTTTCCTATATGGAACTTAGTGAAAAGCCGATTCTCTTCCACCCCGGGGCATTCAATTGGTCGAGATTGGACAAAGTATAATAGGGAATGCTCGTCATTTGACGGAATGCCTATTCATTCTAAAATGAGCGCTCCAGCTCTTTCGAGTCGAGGAATTTTTCCCCGAATGGCGATTCCAATCTGCACTGCCAAACATGTCAGGAAAGTATTTGGGTCTGTAGCGGTAATGCTCACAGAGAAAGCCTGAAAGGCCTGATTTATGAACATGCATATTTTGTTGCGTGTGAATCGCATTCCCTTGATACCAACACTAATCGATCATTGATTTTCCCAAACTCAAAACGCATGATCTCTTGGCTTCTGTTGTCCCATGAAACAGAAAACTCGTGAATATCAGCTGCTGTATCTTTCCCATGATTAACGTTTTATTTGCTTTTATGTTCCCTAAATCTTTTTCCACTTCTTTTAGAATTAGCTTTGTCCTTCAATAGCGTCTGAAGTTTGTCCCACTGAGAACGTTCACATATAAAAAGGGCCATGCATATGCATCCAATGGAGCATTCTCAGTTGATTTTTCTGCCCTCCTGTTTCATTTAACTTATTTCTAGCTACTTTGGCCTCATCCCATTTTAAAAAAATGGTCCAATTCTTGGTACAGTCTCTAATTCCTCTCTCTCTCTTCCTCATGATGCGAATTTGCACACTGCAAGCCGAGGTTGTGGTGCCAAAAAATGCAACAATCTCCGCTGTTTTCACGTTTGGTGACTCCATATTGGACACAGGCAACAACAACAACCTCATTACTCTGGTTAGGAGTAATTTTCCTCCGTATGGAAGGGATTTCATGGGACGAATTCCGACCGGGAGGTTCAGCAATGGCAAGATTCCCTCGGACTTCTTTGGTAGCACCAAAACAATTATACTTCAATCACTTTCTTTACTTTCTGCATATTGCATTGCGATTGAGCTTCATTTATTTGTCCTTTTTCCAAGTTCTCCAAATTCAAAGGAATGAACGACAATATAAGATTCTTTTGTATTTGTGTGATTAATCATCTCGTGTTTTACTTCAAGTTTGAAAACTTATCATTATGATTTAAGCTTAAGCTGCTTTATTTTGTTTCATCCATCAGCTGAACAACTGGGGATCAAAGAACTGTTGCCCGCATTTCTCGACCCGAACCTGCAACTTCAAGACCTCATCGGAGGTGTCAACTTCGCCTCAGCTGGCGCAGGATTTGATCCTCTGACATCGGAACTCGTGGTAAACAAATTTTCGATCCTTGCAGTAAGAAAACTACCTTTCACCAAACCACTGTTATCAACACTGCTGATGGTTCCTCTCTTTTCTCGGGTTGAAATCAGTTCGTTATACCCATGTCGAAACAATTACGACTCTTCGATGAGTACAAAACGAAGCTGAAGAGCTTGATAGGAAAGGAGAGAGCAGATGCTATTGTTGCCAATGGCCTGTACATCGTGTCTGCAGGGAGTGATGACATTGTGAATACCTATTTTCGTACACCCACGCGGATATTTGGCTACAGCGTTTCTTCCTACATGGAACTTCTAGTGCGTTCGGCTTCATCCTTCTTGCAGGTACTTCACATTTAATGAACCAGTGTGGATTTTGATCGTTTATGTAGCTATCCATACCATTAATGTCGGCTTGTCGTCTGAATTATCGGGAAACCATGAAACCAAGCACCTGTTCTCAACAAGCTTTTTATTATCAAATTCATGAATGGCACTGTGTGCATACATAGTTTGTCGAGCTGCACTAGAGAAGCTGGAGTCTCCAAGAGGACGTGCTAATGTGCCCTAACCCGTCCCATGTGACCACTCTAGGAACTACACGCAAAGGGTGCTCGGAAGATTGGCGTCTTCAGCTTGACTCCCCTTGGGTGCATACCCTCACAGAGAACTCTGGCCGGTGGAATCGAGAGAAGATGTGCGGAGGATTACAATCAAATGGTCCAACTGCTCAACTCAAAGTTGTCATCGGAGTTGCATCACCTCAACGGAGCCTTCCCTCGTGCCAGGATGGTCCTTATAGACATCTACGGCCTTGTACTCGACATCGTGAAGAATCCCAGAAAATATGGTAAGACTTGGCACAAAGATGTCGTTGTGGAAAATTACTTATAAATCGATTAAAGCTTTTGGACGTTAAAGGTGGATGCACACTGAATTTCAACTCGGTACCAGAGACAGAGGTCTCAAGCTAGATGTTCTTTCAGTGACAATAGATTTCTCTGGTTTCCCATCGTGACAGGGTTTGAAATCTCAGACCGAGGGTGCTGCGGCTCGGGTCTAATAGAGACCGCAGTTTTGTGCAACCGGTGGGATTTCTTGACATGCTCGAATGTCTCAAAATATGTGTTCTGGGACAGCTATCATCCCACTGAAAATGTCTACAAGATCATGGTCCAGGAGCAGCTGGGGAAGCTCATGATCGACCTATACTCATGATGATGAAGATGACGGCGACTATGCTCTTTTACTATGCTCTTCATACTAAAGATGATGATTAATTCTTGTATATTGAGGAACATGTATAAGTATACTCTTGACATAACGGACATGGTAGATGAACCTGATCATCATTTGTTGGTTGAGTTCGAATACAATTGATCAAGTTTTTCAAACGACTTGATTACTACCTTATGTCACATACCACTCATCCAGCAATTGACTCAAAACCCCAAATCTAAATAAACGGCCCGCTGAATATTCTAATTAAGAAACAAGCATACTGAATTCGCTCATTCAAAAACCTTCAAAAATATCTATGCAATTATGTTGCGAAATCCATTTACCATATCCAAAACTCCGAATTCAATAATAATTATCATCCAATTTATGATTGGAAGTCTTCTGGCTTTGCTAATATCTGGGCACAGATATACTTCCCTCCTGTCTTTGCACACCCATTTGATTGGTTCTCTAACGGTCTTACCATTGAATCGCCTCTTTCTTTCGAAGCATCTAGTTTGTCTTTTGATGTGATAATACGGATCAAAACATGTCAAGCATGTCGTCTTCGAGTCGATCATAGTTGCCATATGCAAATGTCTCTTGGTAAATTCTTTTTGCGTAACAAAGTTCACCCTTTGAAATCGTATTCTATCATGTTTTGCCAGGCATTTTGTATGCATTTTTTTCTCATTCTTGATGAGAACTAACTGTTAAAAGCATGGGAGTTTAATCAGATTGTTGGTTTCCTTAGAGGATAATATTACCCTTGTTTTCCATGGAACTTACTCATGCTCCTTGGTTTTTACTTATTAGGCTCCCGACAAAGCGGTTTCAAAGTGTACAGCTTGTGGAACAGATTTTCATTCGCAGGGTACATACTTTCTGCCTCACTTGTCTCTTCAGTGTTCATCGGTATCCTTTTCCCTCACAGCTTTGGTTTTTACAGGTTCAGCTTTCAGCACCACTGCAGGAACCGTGGAAATATTGTCTGCGATAAATTTACCTCGTGCTAGGTGTTAAAATATGTCTCGTATACGTGGTGACTTTTGTACATGAATGAACTGCATAATTGTCAGTGCAGGTATCGTGGTGAAGCACATCAGCATTCCAGCGGCTTGTCACTTCTTAACTTTCGATGTAAAAATTACTTGATCATGTTAATCCTGTGTCTTCTTTCTAGTTTAGCTCCAGCTCCCGTTTGCTTAGGCTTTCCCTGTCACTTACCTTATAGTCCTCGAGATCCGGGGAAAAGTTGCAATGAAGTGGCTTAATTATGTTTGTGTGCAGTTTGATAATGTTCGTTAATGCTGCGGGTCAGCTGTTTCCCATACTGCAAAAATGAATTCATCGTTGGACGCTGATCTGAGGTTTTTCTTTGTGGTTGTGAGCGAGACACCAATGACTATAAGCTATGCTTTTACTTTTCCTATACGGACCAAAGTGAAAAGCCGATTTCCTTCCGCCACAGGGCATCCAATTGGTCGAGATTGGACAAAGTATAATGGGGAATGCTTGTCATTTGACAGAATGCCTATTCATTCTAAAATGGGCACTCCAGCTCTTTCGAGTCGAGGAATCATGCCCGGAATGGCGATTCCAATTCGGGACCGACTCCTTCCCACCAGATATGTTGGGAAAGGAGTCGGGTCTGCGATAATGCACCCGAAAGTCTAACGATAAAGCCTGACTATGCACATGCATATTTTGTTTCGAGTGACGTGAATGGCATTCCCTTGATATCAACACTTATCCATCATCGACTATCCCAAACTCAAATGGCATGATCTTTTTGGCTTCTGTTTTCCCATGAAACAGAAAACTTGCGAATATCAGCCACTGTATCTGTCACATGGCTAACGTTTTAATTGCTTTTATGTTCCTTAAATCTTTTTCCACTTTCTCCTAGAAGTAAGTTTCTCCTTCAAAAGTGTCTGAAAGTTTGTCCCACTGAGAAGGTTAACTTATAAGAAGGGACATGCAAATGCACCCAATGCGGCATACTCACTGGATTTTTCTAACCTCCTGTTTCATTCAATTTACTTCCAGATTCCTCGGCCTAATTCGATAAAATAATAATGCAGACAATCTTGATGCAGTCTCTGATTCCTCTCTCTCTCTTCCTCTTGATGCAAATCTGCACACTGCAAGCTGCGGTCGTGGTGCCGAAGAATGCAACAATCTCGGCTGTTTTCACATTTGGTGACTCCATATTGGACACAGGCAACAACAACCACCTCATCACTCTGGTTAAGAGTAATTTTCTTCCATATGGAAGGGATTTCATGGGAGGAAAACCGACCGGGAGGTTCAGCAATGGCAAGGTTCCCTCAGATATCTTTGGTAGCACAGAAACAATTATACTTCAGTAACTTTCATAATTTTGCGAAAATTGCATTCCGATGAGCTTCATTCCGTGTTTTACTTTCACTTTGAAAACTTATCTCTATGATTTAAGCTTAAGCTGCTTTATCTTGTTTCTTCCATCAGCACAACAACTGGGGATCAAAGAACTGTTGCCCGCATTTCTCGACCCGAACCTGCAACTTCAAGACCTCATCGGAGGCGTCAATTTCGCCTCGGCCGGTGCAGGATTCGATCCTCTGACATCAGAACTCGTGGTAAACAAATGTCCCTTCCTCGCATTATGAAAGCTACCTTTCACCAAACCATTGTTATCGACGCTGCTGATGGTCCCTCTCTTTTCTTGGGTTGAAATCAGTTCGTCATACCTATGTCGAAACAATTACGACTCTTCGATGAGTACAAAAGGAAGCTGAAGAGCTTTATAGGAAAGGAGAGAGCGGATTCTATCGTTGCGGACGGCCTGTATATTGTGTCTGCAGGGAGCGACGACATTGCGAATACCTATTTTCATACCCCGACCCGGATATTTGACTACAACGTTTCTTCTTACACACAACTTTTGGCTCGTTCAGCCTCATCCTTCTTGCAGGTACTTCAAATTTACTATACCAGTGTGGCTTTCGATCGTTCATATAACTATACATGCCATTTATGTCCGTTTGTCGTCCGAATTATCGGGAAACCGAGAAACAAACACCTGTTCTGAACAAGCTTTCGATCATTTACTCGAGAATGACACTCTACGCATACATAGTTTTGTCGAGCTGCACTAGAAAAGCTAAAATCTCCAGGGGGACATGCTAATGTGCTCTAACCCGTCTCGCGTAACCACTCTAGGAACTACACGCAAAGGGTGCTCGGAGGATCGGCGTCTTCAGCTTGGCTCCCCTCGGGTGCATACCCTTGCAGAGAACTCTAGCCGGCGGACTCGAGAGGAGATGCGCAGAGGATTACAATCGGATGGTTCAACTGCTCAACTCAAAGTGGACGCGGGAGTTGCGTCACCTCAACAGAGCCTTCCCTCATGCCAGGATGGCCCTTATCGACGTCTACGGCCTCTTACTCGACATCATGAAGAATCCCAGGAAATATGGTAAGACTTGGTACAAAGATGTCCTAATAAATTATACATAGTCCGATCAAAGCTTTTTGCACGTTAACGGTGGTTGCACACCGAATTTCAACTCGGTACCGGAGACAGAGGTCTCGAGCTCGATTTTCTCTCGGTGACAATAGATTTCTCGGCTTTCCCCATCGTGACAGGGTTCGAAATCTCGGACCGAGGGTGCTGCGGCTCGGGTCTAATAGAGGCCGGATTTATGTGCAACCAGTGGAATTTCTTGACATGCTCAAATGCCTCAGGATATGTGTTCTGGGACAGCTATCATCCCACGGAAAATGCCTACAAGATCATGGTCCAGGGGCTGCTGGGGAAGCTCCTGGTCGACCTATACTCATGATGGCGAAGACGGCGGCGACGACGACGATCTTTTACTATGCTCTTCATGCTACGGACGACGATTAATTAGTTCTTGTATGTTGAGGAACATGTATAAGTATATTCTTAAATACAAACAACACGGAATGACAGATTGATTTTATCATCGTATGTTGCTTAAATTTGAATACAACTGATCAAGTTTTTATAATTGACTTCGTTACTATGTCATCCGTTAAGTTCCATTCCATCATCTACCATCTGACTCAAAACTTCAAGAAACAAGCATGCTGAAATCGCTCATTGAAAAACCTCATAAATATTTATGCGATTATGACGCAAATCTGTTTACGGTATCCAAAAATTCAAATTCAATAATATTTGTCACCCAATTTATAATCACTGCCAGGTAAATTTTTACTTTCATTTTCAATACCAAATACTTGAAAGTTGATCATTTCAAAGTATCTTTTTTTTGTTGGTCAAAAGTAAAGTTTTTTTTTTTTGGTCTAAGTCAAAAGTAAAGTTTACTTAGGAGATAATAACACAAATAGTTCCTGAACTTTGGCCCACTGTGCAATGTAATCCTTGAAGTTTTAATTTGTTCGATATAGCCCATGAACTTTAGTCTAATGTTCAATGTGGTCCTCGAACTTTTAATTTGTTCAATATGGTTCCTGGACTTTTGATACATGTTCAATTCAGTCTCTGAATTATATTACATTAAACATGTATCAAAAGTTTATGGATGACATTGAAGATATTAAAAATTCAGGAACCACATTGTACATTAGCTTAAAATTTAGGGATCACATTGAACAAATTAAAAATACAAGAATCATTGCATATTGGACTATATTTTATGAACTATTTGTGTCATTTTTCTTGTACTTGTACATAGTATAAAGCCAGGTGAGCCTCAAAAGGGCTTCGTCACAAATCTTAAAGAGCTGCAGAACGGCCCGACCGTCCGGTCCGCTCGAGTTGCATCCGCAGGCCCGGTTCAGCCGATCCGGTTCGCCAGTCCCATCACCTTCTCCTCCTCGGCGAGGCCGCCCAGCCCAGCTCAGCCGCTTCGAACCTCCAGCTCTCCGGCCTCGAACCACCGCCATGGACCCGATCGCGTCGTTCCTCGAATCGCTTCAAGGGGCGGCCAGATCGGCCCATGAGTTCGTCTCCGGCGTCGTCCACCGCCGCGACGGCCCCGCTCGCCGCCGTCCGGTACGCCCCCCTCTTCCGCCGCCGCCTCGTTTTCGTCTCCATCCTGTTTCGCTCGCGGCGGTCCAGGGTTTTGTCGCTGCTTGTCTCCTGCGCTCGTTCTTCTAAATCCCATCCATTTGCGGCATAGCTTCGTGCTTCGCGTGATGTGAACTGTTGTCTACCCTTCGCGGGAGGCCGATGATGATGATGATGCTAAGAGCGGTTAGTAGTTGTTGATTAGACGTGGAGGATGAATCAGATAGAACTCCGACATCTTCTTAGTAGAATTATAGAGAAAGAAGCAGCTGGTGAGAGAAAGATCTGGACAGGCGACGGGACAGGCGCTCCCAAGTCGAAATTCGCATGCAATTTTTTTATGTAAAGTTAATGGATTCTACGAGTTGGATGATGCAATTTCTTCGATAGATCACATGGTATGCGATCAATCTGTCTGGTTGATTGTTGCGATGACGGTTTCGACTTTTACCGTCCGAGCTCTTTCGATTGAAGTAACAAATCAAAAGGCAAAAAATCAGGATGGTTAGAGTGCAGAATCTTCCACAAATCAGCATGAAGATAACACGTGTTCTAATATTTAGATGATTCTGCGCCGTAACCATTCTGATTTTTTGCTTTTTGATTTGTTGCTTCATTACTTTCATCGTTAACTTGCGCCCGTTCAGATGATAGAACAATTCTCTTAGCAAATGCTGCCCCAAATCTAAGGCTTATCATCTCATTTTATGCTTACATGTAAACCCATTTACATAAATAGTTAGTCCTGCTTTGTGGTTGCAACATAAACTGATATGCAGATTTTCTATGTAGCAATAGGTTGTATGATAGGGCTTCATTGTTCATTGTTGGTCCTGTGATTTTATTCTCAGATTGAAATCTTAAAGCGGTTGCAGAGGGAAGCATTTTCAGACATTATGAAACTGAGGGACAGACAAGACAAAGTCGAGCGCGTCCTCACTTTTTATAAGGCTTCCAAGGACAGTCCTTTCCAGGAAGCCAGTACCCATGTGCGGGGGGAGGTTGATGTTTTGGGAGGTCTTTTGAAGATTAATAACGTTGATCAGCAGGATTATGGTACTTTCCCAGGACCCGGAATTCGAACTGGAATTGACACGAAGTTCACTTTCGAAACAACTGTCCGCGAGAAAGATGTGCTCGTGGCACAGTTTATTGCGGGTCAAAGGGGCAGAGAAGATGTGAATGGTTTTCTAGAAAGCCCACCACTTTCCCTAGCAAAAGTGTTCTACAAGGCACATCTCAGTGATTGGTTTTCTGTGATGGCAGTCCCAATTGGAGCTCAATGCAGAGATGTTGGTGTCATTCCAAGTTGTTTTCATCAGGTACGAGCTGATAGTCAAATTTTCTCACGACTTTGGTTTGATATATGTTTTAGTAAAACAAAGTGCAGAACAAAATTCCTGTTGCATGGCTTTCATAGGAGATAACTAGGCAAATAATTTCAGTACTAGGATCTAATTTGTCAAATAGGTGTTCAAGAATAAGTAGAGCTTTTTTTCTCAATGACGCCATGTACGTTAACCCTCTCCTTACCAGCAACTGTGTGACTTCTCTGCATTTGAATATGTATTCACGTGATTACATCACCCTATTTCAACTTGAAACGCCTTTGTCAACGAAAATTCTCCCAAATCAGCTTCTTGTTCCCCCCTCAAGATTCCAATAACATCTTCTATGTGGCAGGGAAAGGGTCTCACTGAAAATTCGTGTTCTGGACCTCCCCTGATAAATCATCACAGTGGCAGTGCCATCGGACTAACCGTAAGAAAATCAAATATTGCTGCCTCGCTCGGTCAATGTGTTTCTGGATTGCGGAGGCATATCGGTTCTGGCGAAATTGAGCAGTTGTTTAGTACTTTCGGTCAAGTTGTGTGTCAAATTCCAGGAAAAACAAAACTCTCTCTTTTGGGTCTTCATGAATTTCAGAGACTATCTAATCGACATCTTTCTTGTGGACCCCTTTCAGTTCCTATAAGTTTACTGAAGCAAGACAGGGATCATGCCACATTTGGAGAATCTTCTAGTCAAACCATGGGAGAGAGCACAGAAGGTTACGCGTCATCTGGATCTGTCGCTCTGATGCTGGAGTCGGAGTTGGATGAGGATATAAGACTAGGAGCTTGGATGGAGATGAAAAGGTCAAATCCCAAACGCGTAGAATGGGCTGTCAGCTTGTCTGATGATTGCAATGATGAACTGGGCTGGGGTTTGAGTCTCAGTGGGACATCTGAAGGTCAGTCCAGATGGGATCGGTTTCAGGCCGAATCTTATATTAAGTTCAACATAGGCAAGAAATTTAACCTGCGCCCTGGTGTTGTACATGTAATTGATGGGAATGCCAGATTAACAGCTTTCATGGTTCGGTCGAACTGGTCCTTTTGATTTCTGTCCATGTAACAGGGCCAAGTTCCAATTCTTTTTGAGGTAGGGTGTTAGCCTTCTTCAGTTATGTTGGTGGCAGATCATTTTCTTTCCTTTACCACATGTAATCACTTAGATTATGACCGGCATGTTTGAGAAAAGGGTAGGAACTGTGGAAAGTTGTCTAGTTTTGATGCTCTGTCAGAACTTGCAACCCGGAATGCTGCAGAACAGGTTGTCATTAAGGTGAAATGAGAAGGCTATCGAATAGCATACTGGACTGATCATAATCGAAAAGTTTGATCCGAGTTGAATGGTGACATTTTACCTCAGCCGAACAAAAAGATGAAAAAATTGACTCTGTGATACCCATTTCTCCTCTGTGTTTACCATTCTCGGAGGGAGCTTCTGTTTAGAGTTGTTTTCCTGACAATTACTGGGGACTCTTGCATGAGTAATTTGATGGTACTTCAGCATTTTTCAGTTTTAAAATATCTCTATGTTGATCGGCTCGCATCATCGCTTGTCGATGCCACGTGATACACAATGTGACTAGTAAGCTATAAGCACCTCACCTTGCTTGGTTTCTTGTGCTCATCGTAGCGTGGCACTTGTGCGAAGTTCTAATTTTGGCTGGAACTGCTGAGGCTACAAAGAAACGTGAATATCAAGATCTTCTATTCATCGTTAAATTGAGAAAATGTCTCTTTAAACCGATTGTCATGTTGACTAATATTACGAAACAAGCCTCAAACATTTCCAATTTCCAAAGAGGAAAATAAACAACACGATCAGTACCTGTAACCAGATTAATCGCTTTTATAGTCCCTGATTATGAACTTCCAATAGACGATAGAATCATAACCAATTGAGTTCTATCATGAATATGACATATTTTCATTGCCTTCCGTAGTCATATCATAAGCTCAATCTCCGATCAATTCTGAGTGTCATTCAAAAGGTTTCTATACTTCCGGCACTAATCTCAGTATATTCGGGTGTCTAGTTGCGCTTTTCCACTACCAGAATTAACTGTCAACCTCCTGACACTATTTATTCCTGCAGAGAGAGAGAGAAAGAAGGTAGGTAGGTCGAGTAATTCAGTAGTGTTGTTGGGGTCCTGAGAGACCCTTCATTGTATCCCTACAATGTAGCATGAAAATCAGCATTTGCTGTTAAGATGAGAACCTTCTCTCTTTCCCCTTCCCCCTCCGAAAGTAGGATCCGCTCGCCACTCTTTAACCGAACTGGTTCTTCGATCTTTTTGGCAGCTCACATTTCGCTCCGCGTAATCTTCTTCATTGACCCCCTCTAAGTCCGCGTGCTCTCGTGTTTATACAGTCATTTAAACCGTTCTCGGAGTATCGATTTTCTTATCGCCATCTGCTTGAGCATTCTACAACATAGTCTAAATCTGCTTCGCCCGGGTTATGTTGGCTCATTCATTGAACAATGCAAATTCAACGTTTCATGGTTTGCTTGCAATGATATTTCATTGAAAGCTCAATCTTGGATGAAGTTTTCAGCCTCTGTATTGTTCCTATATGGATGACAAAAGTATGCCTTCTCCAATTAAAGCTCACGGGACACATTTCCTTCCGTTGGGTAGTGAAGAATCTCTCTCCACTCTCACCTTCGGTGATGTTCATAGGCAGATGGGGAATCTTGGCAAACCCTTTAACGGCATGACCTTAAACGAACTAGCTAGAGCCACACCAGCTGAAGAAGGCCTTCAGCTGCAGAATCCTATTTCTGCCCCTTCTGTCTTCCTTGGAAACTTCAACCTGAATGAGACGCTGAATAAGAAATCAGAGGAAGATGTTTGGGGTGAGATTGTGGATACTGAGCAAGCCGGTTCCATAAATAATCAGTCCCTGAATCCACATATGACTCTCGGAGAAACCACACTGGAGAACTTTCTTGTTGGTGCTGGTGTTATCAACTTGGATGTTCAGGAAAATCCCATCAATCAGGAACCGCCAGCAGCAATTGATCCCATGATGGTGGTTTCACAGCCGATGGACTGGGTGCAACTTCACATGGCTTCAGTCCAACAGCAGCAGCCAATGGTAGTGCTTAATTCGAATTTCAATGTTTCGAGTTCTGCCTACGAAAACCAAGGTTTTGAAACGGGTTACGCAGAGAACCAAACATCACTGCCCATTTCAGCGCCAGCCATATCTGCTACATCACCTGACTCTCAGGGATCCAGTGAAAAGAAGTGTAGATACTCAGATGAGGTCATGGATAAGACCGTAGAGAGGAGGCAAAAGAGGATGATCAAGAATCGCGAGTCAGCTGCCAGATCAAGGGCGAGGAAACAGGTTAGCCACATGATTTAAGCTGATGGTTGTTTGTGACCTGTTGAAATCTTCTACTAGCTACCTTCAAAGTTGTGTTCTATCTTCTGATCTGTATTCTTCTTGTGTTGATGAAGGCCTACACCAACCATTTGGAACATCAAGTTCTTCGCTTGAGGAAAACAAATAACTGGCTCAGGAAACAGAAGGTATAATTTTTGCTATCTTTTTTGACAAAAGATAAATGACTTCTTGATCTCTTTTGGCACGACATTGTATGAAACAGAGATTAGAATTTCATCCTTTATGTGACAAGAATATTGCACTTTGTTCTACATTTTAGTTTCTGAGTAGATCGTGGAGTTATTTTGGAAAGGATAGAACGACTCCATTCTTCATGGCATTCTTATCATCAATCACAGCTTTGTTTAACTATCACCGTTCATCTCTTTTGTCGCATCTGTTTGTCGCTGTCTGTGGTGGAATCAGCGGAATTGGACTGGTTAGATTTATTAAGCTTACCTGTTAAGAGTGAGATTGTAGGACTTATTAGACTTATCAAACTTACCTGTTAAGAGTGAGATTGTAATTCGTGAGGGTTCAGGTGCATATGGGGGCCAGGTTTTGTAGTGCCTTTTCTTCTGACATGTGTAGTCCAACTTCAATATAGTAAATTTCTGTTTCACTCTCTCGAGAACATAAGCTAGTTGCTGAACGACATGCATTGTAGTGTGCATCTCTGTTTCTTAGTTTTGCATGTCGTTCGTTGCATTGCTTTCCCTCACAGTAAATTTTCCAATCACTTGGAAAATTTTAGCTTGCTCATCATGGGGCATTCTGTTGCCAGCGTCATGGAAGAACTCAATATGCTTATAGTAGATACCACACGACCACCAGATTTTCAGTCTCATTTTTTGCTTTGCAGACTTTCATTTGGTAAATTTTCATAGATTTGCGACTCCTGAGGAGACTTCTTGGGGGAGAAAATCAGAATTAGCAACCACGATAGAATATAGAGACATTTGTCGGATTCTAGTAGAGAGGTTCCTTTCATAACGCCTTCAATCAATTCTCCATGAAAGGATTTCTGCACCAAATCCTAATCGGGCCAAAATCAACGGGTCATCTTGGAATTTTGAAAAGGTTTCTTTGTGCCATAACACTCCGATTATGGTCTCTGAAGTAGGGGCATTGAGTTTCCAACATGAACTGTGTAAACATTTCTCTCCTCTCAGGCTAAGGTAGTTGAGGATTCGACCATTCTTAAGTAGGTCATCAGAAGTCCTCGTTTGATATCTTGTATTTACTCAGGCGGCTGAACAAACTTATATATACAGAAGCGATTTGCTCGTGTTGAGGAGGACCAAAATGCTGAGATTGATAGGAATAGAGGCCTTCGTAAGTCCCCCTTGGACACTGATTTTGTTTCTCTTCCTTTCAGGGGGTGGTGGAACTAGATAGAGATGCCCATTAGCTGTCCAATTCCATCAGGGATTTTCCTTGCATTTTGTTTATTTGGCAGAAAGGATTTTTCTTTACATTGAGAATGTTCATTGTCTTCGTCTTTCTTCCTCTCACTTGCACCCGAATTCCTGCGGCACATGAGGAAAAGAGCCAAACTAGTTAACGGGAATAGCACTATAAACAGCAGCTCTCGTATTGGATTCAACATGTGGTTCTGCATTTTTGCAATCTTTGTGTTTTGGAGGGAAACTCATCTTCTTATCGCACTTGCATCGCTTTGAATCTCGTGAATACATACTTGAAGGTTTCCATTTTCCTACTCAAAATCACTGAAAACATGAGTTCTTACTTATTCTGAAATTTTTCTCTTGCGTAGGAACTGGAGTTGCTCTTTTACTCAGATTCGAGCTCCATGCCCAAGTACCAACTCCGCCGCACCAGCTCAGCTCTTTTTTAATATATAAAACATAGAATATGGGATTTTTTATTCTTTATTGTTTCGATCTACTTGAGTCCTAAGATTGGTTTTCCGGAAACTTCGCCCATTAAATTTTGGAAAGAACTCGTCAACCAGTTTTTGCTGCTATTGTGGAAGAAGACATACCAATAATAGCATTACTTTAAATGAACAGAGAAAAAGTGCACTTTTTTCAGTCTCAGCCTGCTGGCTTTTCACGTTGTTGCTCTTACTCACAAGCATCTAATGCCCAGAGTGGATGTTCTGCTCAGAAAAGACATATAGACCTCTCTGTATGTAGATGAGTGACATATTGTGCATATATCAGGCACATTTCCTTCGCCATTAAATTCCAAAAGCAGAAGGTCTGTTCTGCATTTCTGTGGACACCCGAAGTAGGCACATGTTAATCCAGGAAAGGGGCTTTTTGTAGCTTGAGCATATTAGAAGAGAGAAATCAAATTCAACTACTGATTATGAGTCAAGCTGAAGATAACCGCGAGAGGTGCAACATTAAGGTTCTAATACAGTGGCTCCTGAATATCCTCATCACAGCTATTAGGATTCCTAATTCTCGGGCGCAAAGGTTCCTAGGAAAACATTATGACGACTCCAGTTCTTGAAATGCCATTAGGAATGACTGCATTTCTCGTTCTATAGTTGCAGTAGACATTCGCGATCCATCCACGGTTCTCTAAGTTTTCCCACAGGCATGTTAACTTAAGTTGGTAAGAGGGAAAGAGGTCCATTCACATTCCAGGCTCCAGCCCCCCACAACAGATTCATCAAGTATAGCATGACCGTCCACAATTACAGTCGCTCCTTATCTTAAGAGAGAGAGATCAGACGGACCTGTGCAAAACTATTCAGACTATGATATCCAGCACAAAGTGCCATTGCCTCAATCATCACATTTGTTCCAAACATCACATAAATTCTCGATGAACTTTGGTTTTGCAGGCTCACTGCAGAAGGGCATGACCCCTACACAGACACACTGAAGAATGAAGATAGCTCGCTTCACAGCATTATGACTTCAGACTAAATGAAGATCGAAAGAATTAACAGGAACATGAGTGAATTTCCTTTTCTTCAATTTGGTCCTTCCTGCAGGGAATGTACATCTTCAAGGTGTAGTCTAGTTAGTATCTACCAAGTCGTAACATGGTCTGACAGACAACAGAAAGAAACACTACAACCAAATTAGTAACTAGAGACAGCCCTTTTGTATTTACATGTTAGCACCTAATCCCTATCGCCCCATATTTACAATAGCAATGCTAGTTGAGCAAGTACTTTTTTTGTATGCCCTTTCTTCAATGAACCTGCCAACTGCAAAGAGAAGATCCGAAAACCCTTATAACAGAGTAGCAGAGCTAGCTCTGACAGAAAAACAAGAAGAGAAACCTGCATACAACAACCAGGGAGATGTTTCAGATGCTGTAGTACCTTATAATGATGCAACAAATGACTCTACAATATACTTATTTGAGATTTTTATCCTTTTCCACAAGGTTTTCTTTAAATCAATCAACTGATGCATGAATATGATGGCCAAAAGGTCATAAGTATACTCTCACAGATTGAAGAATCAACGAAGAAACATAGAAAAGTCACATCCTGTCATTTACAACAAAAGTCAAGATTATTGTCCTAAAATGCAAAACTCATACCGAGATGAAGTGTTTTAGTCAGCAAAGTATCTTTAGTGCATCCTAAGAAACTCTGACTACATGATTCAGGGCCTGAACTGAGACTCAGGAAAATGCAGAATATGACCAAAGTATATCAATCAACAGAAAAATACACATCCCCAAGTAAAAATCTGTTTTGAAACTGTAAAAGTTCTTCTTACAAATAAAAGCCACACAAAACACCTACTTAGCCCTAGTTTTAAAGGGAATTGGGGGGGGGTTTAAGGAATCAGAACTTTTGAACTAAATAGCTATTACCATTAAGAAGTCATAACTCTTAAGCGACTTCTACTCAGATATATAACTAATAAATGAAAATTCCTTATAAATCGTACATTTGACACTTCCGGGATATTTTTAACATATCTCGCATACTTTTCAAAAGGCAAAAGCACAAACCAAAACTCAGGGACATACTTTTGACTTCTACTTTTGGGATTTACTTATCGGCTTTTCACTAGGTTCCAGTGCCAACAGCTTCAAGTTAAATTCAAAGCAAAAAGCCAGGACTAGAAGCCAGTGCGAAAAGCCCTCTTAAACAGGCTAAAAGTTCTGCATAGATTCTGCACAAGTGGAACCACAGCATTGATACTGCATTAAAATAAGGGCACTGAGAGTGCTGAATACTGCAACTCAACGACATCATGGAGAAAGCAAAGAAGTTGACAGCTAAATACCAAGGCTAAACTAGTGGGAATTTACAGGGGCCAAAGCTCCTGCCCACTTCCACTTTGAAGGCATTATTGAAAGAATGATATGTCCCTTTCCACATCTTTTAAGTAACTGGCAAATACAGTGCACTAGTATGGTAACTTACATAAAGTAGGAAGGTTGTTTGGTCGCCAAATCATTTCTTTGTGACATCAATAAACATTGCTCGGGTCCAATGCTCAACATCCTCATTTTGTGATGGTGGCGGAGGAAAAGTAGGATGCTCCACTAAATCCCATCCATCGATAAGAGACTCATTCTTTCCTATCTCCGACAAATCAGTAGCATAAAGAAAGCTGGCAGCTGAATTAGGAAGATTGGCATTACCAATGTTTTTCTGCATAGCACGGCAAGCTCATCAAAACCAACGAAGGTGTAAATCAACCAAGATTATGTAAAAGGAATCTCATCTTTGGAAGCTGTCCTCTGAACATAAAAGAATAGAGAAGACATATTGGTAATGACAGTTTTATGCACATAACTAAAAATTTATCCAAGATTCTCATACTAATTCAACCGAAAGAAGGATCAAATGATCTCTTAACAACAGTTGCAATACACAGAATATAACTCTACCAAACAAATTGACTGCATTGCATATCATGGCATGCAATTCACGTTCACAGTCTCTATCTTTGTGCGTTTGGCATCGCCACTCCCTTTGGCAGCATCCACTAATTTGAAAGGGGGAAAGTATACAGAAAAGACAGTTCCTTTCATTTCTATTAGTATTTTTTATTATATTAGCATTAGATTAGTATTAGCCTGTGATACAAATAGCCAAAAACAGATTTCATGATCACAATTGCCTATTGTCTTAATGTAGCCAAAAGAAGAGGGGGAGTGACAGTGTAATTAGTAAAACTGTCCTATATAGCACAATGTAAGCAATTTAAGTAACAGCTCTCAATATCATCTTAGGATATGCCAGTTTTAATTCTATGTGAGCAAAGGTCAAGTGCAAAAGGATCATATTACAGAATACAAGTAAGCTAAAAGTACTCAAATAATATAAGAACTATAAAAAATGAATCAATTGTGAAGATCCGAATATAGTCTCACTCATACCACGAGAGGAAGTGTATGTGCACTTTCCAATAAAGTGCTTGATGTGATAGCTGAGTTCACGTTCCACACAGACTTATTTAACTGTTGAACTTGCTTACTTGATCTGCAAATCAATGGAGATATAAAAGTGAGACACATAATGTATATGTGTATCACGGTATCAGCTAGAAAATGTGGCATATTAACAAAACTAGTATTAAGTTTGCATAATGCCCGATATGCAGAATAACATATAAACTATATCACCTGACCTCAAAGTCATGAAGTCCTTGAGGTTTTGGCACAAACTCCAAGTTACAAGTCAACTTCAAAAGGGAAGTTTTATGTTTCTGACAAATATATCTACTTCTCATCTTTTTGAACAAATATACCTACTATTGTCATCACCTTATCTTGTTCAACATGGTTATTACGGAAGAAACAAGTGATCTAACTCTGGCATATCCATACAAGTACACACCTAGAAAGGTGACAATCTAACTCAAAATCAGACTGAAAACACAGTTTCTACTTTCTTCATTGTGCTAAAAGGCAATGAAAGTGTGTACCTTGAACAAGCCATTTTCAGAGATGTTACAGAGCGAACTTCCTTCGAAGAAGAGAGTATGCTCAATAATCTAGCAAATGCCTCAAAAGTAGACGCCTCAGAAGGGACATCTAAGCAGAGAGAATTGTAGCAGTATGTTGTAATGCATGCCACACTTTTCTTCAAAAGGGATATTCCTCTCTGCAAATCCTTGTGTGTTTCAACAGAATGAGAAGAAGCAGAAGAATAATTAAAACTGCCACTTCTACAAATATCAAGCTGGGGCTTTCTCTCTGACTCCATTGAAGCAACACCGAAATTACTAGAGCTTCTGTCTGACCATGAATTTTCTCCACTAGTGGAGCAATAGTTTTGGCGTGGTATAAAAAGGGGATATTCATTGCTGCAAGGCATACAAAAATTTCAGACAAGCAAGCTTGAGCACTCAAGTTGTCAAATGTGATTGCACAAGATTCTACCTTCGAGAAGATGGACGAGCATCCAAATAAGAATCTCGTTGCCAAATTCGAGAGCAAGAACCCTATTATACAAAAGGGACAAATAACAGTCAATCATCATAGAGAGTTTATTCTTAGCTAAATGAAACATCCTTGATTAAGAAACATAGAGTCATCCATTTTAATAAGATGTGAGTGAAAAATGTTTGGACCGGTTAATAACAGAATATAGTATTGCACTATTAAAGAAACACAACTCCAATTTCTGTTCCAAGTAAATCAATATTATATGAAACAAAGGTAAGCCCACAAATACAGCTAATTCTCAAAAAAGAATACAGGCATTGCTGAAGCAAAGGCAAGTTATACAGTTAGCATATTCATTCAAGCCTTTGGAAAATTAATGCTGATGCATATCTTCACAAATGAATTGAAAAGATAAACAAGTATTACTTTTGAATCACAGCTGCCTTTCAGTTCAAGGGTAAGAGTCCAATTGACAGGTAACCATCAGAAAGAGCAGCAAGCACTTTTTTATTGTTCTTTTTTCCTGTCTACTTATATGCCTGTGTTTGGTTAGAAGTCGACAGTCATTTTGTATCACATTCAAGGATCTAGCACATAGGAAAACTATTTTTACTTTAGGCCAAATGCCGAAAGGAAAGAACCAGAACAAAGATGTCGAGAGAATCACAAATAAAACTCAGTGAAAGAGTTCACATTGTTCAAATCATAAAATTGTCCTCACCGCAAATCCTGAGTTGTGAAGTGCCGGTGCAGCTAAGATCTGAACAACAATATTAAGAAGTTGAACCATGTATCTGTTATGCAACAAAGTAATTACAATGTTAGTAAAGAGAAACTCAAGTTGTTGAGAAACAAGACACTATCAAGGAAGGACTGCATTAATCATTTAAAAACAAAACGACAAACTATGCCTGAAAGAGACTAAAAGGAAAAGGTGAACTAGAACAAGAGAATCTTGGCAAGTTTTTTGTCATATCCATAAAATTACCCCAATGAAGCACCAAGCTCCTCCGAAGGAACAGAGTGGGGATCAAGTCCTCTAGGTAAACGTGCATTGCAAATTTGATCAAATTGACCAATGGATCCATCTTTCCTTTCCCCATCCACATTCACCTGAGGCATAAATTAAATGAACCGATCTATTAATATGATGTTATGCAACAAAATAATAAATTTCAAGTGTTTCACAATGGTTTTCGCCAGGAATATACTCATTACAACAATTACGCCAGCACCATATGAACCATGAAAGGAAATCTATATAGCACATTTCTGACAAAACTTGTGCAACAAGTAGTACACTTCATAAGAAAATCTTCAATAGTATTAACCAAAAGTTATTGTTCATGCACATTAACAGTCGGATGCAGAAAGGCAAACACGCTAAGCCCAAGATTAGATGTTCAGCTGATGCCATTATTAATTCAAAGTCGGCTGAAGCTCTATGAGAGTCAGATAAAAATCTTCAGGATCGTCTACTACATGCAGCAATGACAAACTCAAAATCTTTAGAGCTCAAAGAAGCAAGCCAAACACTCTAACTATAAACAGATACCCAGCAATGTTCTTGTTCTTTACGACCATTATTCCTGTCCATGTTCTGTGATGTAGCTTTGCCTGACAGTCCTTCCAACTGAGAGGGATCGTCATGCATGCTACTTCAGTTGGTGAATTCTCAAGTCTTAAAAATTTTACGCCATCAAGTCTCTCATTCAAATACACCATGATGCACATAATTTCGTACACAAACTCTGTTTATTAAAGACATACATACACTTCACTAGTCATTTCTCAACCTTTTCACTCAAGGGAAGGAAAAGGGCCTTCATAAAGCATAGCAAGAATATGGTGCATTATCAATGCTCACAGTTTCTAATTACTCATTAGCAAGCAGTTATTATTTATGATCTTACTCGACGTTGGGGGAACAATTTGCATATCTGTTTTATGACCACAGATTGTTTATGAAGGCGCTCTGAGGTAATAGCCATCTGCAAATGAGAAGACAGAATTTGTTAAAATAAAAAGCTTAAACAGCTCAGAAAGCATACCAAGAATGCAGATCAAGGAGTCCATATCAAGGCTGAAAACTCTACTCTAGAGTTACATGACCGCCTATGCTAATCCAAAAAACAAAAAAAATCTATAATGTCCATCAAACACTTATAAACAATCACCAATGGCATATAAGAGCTTGTTTGTGCACAGACACAGGTGTCAAAGAGAACTAGTGCATGTGTGATGTCCAAGACTAAAAGCTCAATCAACTACAGAAAGCTGAGAATAGAAAGCAGAAAGATGCCAAAGGAGTCACCGCACATTTAATATGTCATAGTGAACAGCCAAAGAAAAATCAAAAAAGAAATTATCAATGTAATCCCACTGCAAGAGAGAAATTAAAAGTATCACAAAGTATCTAAAATAAAAGGTAATAGGATTAATTCCTCACAAGTCCCAAGGTCTGTGTGCATACAAGGTTAGGATAGAACTTCTCCAGTTGTTCCACACGATTCCTATCCAACTGCATAGAAAAGCCAAAAATTGACTATATTATGGTGCAATAGAAACACAATTTGCTTGATACTGAATGTGACAAAGAACACTACCAAAGTAAATCCGGGAATGAAAATATAAAATAAGGAAACTTGGTTGCACCTTGGCTAGCGCAGAATCCAGTTCCCCATACTTTGCCGCCAAATCGTTTGACAGTCTCTCGACCTTAGCCTTCCCTGCAAGTCATCCATCAGTCTCACAGCTTAGGAAGATTATAGAGCCAAATCTAATACACTGCACTCAAAAATACCTTGAACAAGCTGTTCTTTCTTGCAATGAAGCTTTTCCCTCAACTTTGCAAGTTTCTCATTCTGTGTCACTCTCCAATTAAATTGATCATCTGCCTTGCCCTGATGAACAGAACAAGCATCAGATTGACTGTAACAGCCATGCAATCTTACAAGTCCTGAGCTGTTACCAGCGTTACCAAAAATGGAAAGAACGCTAATCACACAAATATGACATAGAAGAGTATGATGGGTCACATCTCCGCTGTGTACTTTATAATTATCAATAAACGGCAATGATCTCAAGGTGCCCCAGCCCTCTACATATAGATCGCCAAGACGCCAGTAATATTAACAACATTTTATCAACCTCGACTTAATGAAGTGCCGCGAGGGCCAGTGACAGGCCAGAACTACACACTGCTTACATAACCATTGTTATTTGGCACTCTATCAGCATCACCAGCAGAGACAAAGCATGCTATCAATGTCAAGAATGCCATTTTAGATAAGGGTAGTGGAGAACAGTCAAAAGAAAAAAAAAAACTCGAGATAGCTTAGGACTCGGGAATCAAAGGGGTCGCGACAATCCTATTCTACTTAAAGAGCTAAATCAGCATCATCAATTAAAGAAAGAGAAACGAGGGGGGAATAAAATCCGAGTCCTCGCTCCTACTTGCTATATTCCTTTTGTTTTCTGGAAGCACACACGAATGAACAAGAGAATGCAGTTGCTTCATACGGCAGAAACCAAACCTTCGCCACCAGCACTTCGCTCAATCTCGAATACAGGGCGTCCCGACGGCTTTTAAGCGATTTCAAACCATGATTGTAATCATTCAGCCTGCGCACAAAGACAAAGCGCCTCCATGATTCGCATACCCAGTGAATTTCACGGCAAGATAACCCAGCCATCAGCGGCGAATTCATGCTCCACACCGGCAATTCTAAAAGGAGAAGCCTATCCAAACACTTCGACACGTTCCCCGACACGTTGTCCCCGCGACGCTAGACAGAACCCATGAAACACGAAATCGCCATCCACGAACAGGATTCGAGATACCTGTAGTTGACGCACGCCGTGCAGATGGACGCGCGATTCAGATTTTCGCAGATGGCGCAGGTGCTGGGTCTTCTGGCCATCGTCCAGGTCGCCGCCGATGAACCGCGCCCCCGAAGGAACAGCCCGAGACCCGCCCGGAATCCCACGGAACGCCCGCAGGGGATCAGCTGCGCGAAGGAAAGTCCCCGGATCGAAGGAGACGATCCGACGAGGAACGGAGCCCGATCACGACGAAGCTCGATCGATTTCGAATGTGTAGTCGAGGAAGCGAAGACGATCCGCAGTGCTTGATGAGGCTACGATCATTGAACATCGGACAATCGCAGGCGACGACACTCCTCTTTTTTTGCTTATGTGGTTTTATCTTATTGCTTCCACGTTAATTTATCGTTTGTTTTTATTGTCCCCAGGTCGTACGTACACGAGAAAAATAACATAGACGGTGGATAGATTTTGTTTGATGAACGTGGTGTCTGAACTTTTAACCTAATTTACAGTATCGTCCTAATTTTTTAACATATATTTAATTTAACACCTAAAGTAAAATGTTCGATATTATTTTTGAATTCGAAATAATAAAGGATAATATTAGATATTTTCATATAATCTCTAGATTACAAATTAAAAATTTGGGAATGATATTGTACTAGCCTAAAATTCATGCACCATATTAAACAAGTTATAAATTCAGGGGCGACATTGCACATCGGATCAATGTTCAGAGATCGTCTGTGTAATCATCCCTTCATAGAACAAATTTGAAGACCAGTGGAATCATGCATTCATGATCGAGTCTAGTTGGATTGAATTACGGAATTAGGCAAATTTTAGGATGACGTAGCCTCTTTTACGGATTTCAATCTGTGTGCAACTTCGACGAGTTATGACATGTTTTACATGACTCGTGGCCGTCATTAGATTCAGGTAAACGCCGAGGTCCCGTGACTCTGGGCAAGTGTCGAGATTGCACGACTCCAAGTAAACTAAATCTCACCTAGGGTCGGGCCAACGTCCACAAACCCTCACCAAGGTCTCATGACCTCAAGCAAATTGTCTTCGAGCCACGGGTCGACGCGATCTTAAACGAGTCAGATCTCACTTAAGGTCACGCTAACCTCAGCAAGCCCGTGTTGAAGCCGCATGACCCCAAAGTTGTGCGACCCTAGGCGAGCTCTCGTTGAGGTCACGCGACCCCGACCTGCCGTCGATTGCAGCTGCTGGCTTTTAAAATACGTATAAGGTTCAATATTAAATAAAAAAAGTAAATGAGTAATTTTGAATTTCGAATGAGAAGACTACACGCGAGTTACCGGGCATTACCCCAAAAGCGAAAAACGAAAGACATCAGTAGGGGCATTTTGGTCACTTCCGTTTCAGTTTCTGCCGTGGAAATAGCAATTCGGGAAGAGTCGCGGCCCGAAGGTGGACTTGCAGCGAAGGCCGAGGCTGAAGGCCTGGTTACCGAAGAAGAAGAAGAAGAAGAAGAAGAGCAGAAGGAGGAGGATCGTCTTGATCGCGACACGATCGTCTTCCGAACAGCACTGCGCAGCAATCTCGTCGAACGTCGAAGCGAGCTTCTTCAGGAACAGAGAGAGAGAGAGAGAGAGAAAGCCGGAAGAACCCGAAATGGCGGCGGAGGCCGACGTTCCGTTGGACGACAAGGCGAAGCGGATGCGGGATCTGCTGTCCAGCTTCTACTCTCCAGATCCGTCCGCCTCCTCCGACGCGTCGTCCAAATCCTACTCCCTGGACGCCATCAACACCACTTCCTTCGACGCCGATCAGTACATGAATCTGCTGGTACTCTCGATGTTCCTCCTTTTTCCCTTCTCCCGGTCCGATTCGCTTGCCGCCGTGTCCTCTGTGATGATCTCGCGCGAGGAGAGTTTTTTAGTTTAGCTCTCGAGCATGTCGCCGAATCGCTCGGTTCGGTTCGGCCGCGTAGAATTGTTGGCTGAATTGTGTTGGCATCGCGATCTGCGGTGTCCGTAATTCTTTCTCCTTGAAAGATTTTTTAGGCTTGGCTTTCTATTGTCAGTGTTCAGTGGAGATGTGTGTAACTTCTCAGCGTTGGCGTTTCCTGAGAGCTAATTCCATGTTGGACCTTCGGCATTTTACTCCTGTTTTTCGATAAAATCGCAATGACTGGCTTTGGTAGAGAGGGAGGGCTTAAATGATGAATATGATAGGAGTTAATTGGCGACCGTCGCGAATCGTGCAGGTCCAAAAGTCGAATTTAGAGGGGCTGCTCAAGAGGCATGTGGGAATGGCGGCCGAGATAAAAAATCTTGATACCGACCTCCAGATGTTGGTTTACGAAAACTACAATAAGTTCATCAGTGCTACGGATACAATCAAGAGGTAAACCGGGCATCAAATCTTGCAAGTGTTAGAAAGCTTCATTATGGTTTTGATTGTTATCGTGTCATTTTAACATCTAGGCAGTCTTTATGGTGTGAATGATTGTTTGCTGTGTTTCTGTTGGGTACTAGTTAGCTTTCTATTGGTATTCTCGTTATTTAGTAAAGGTGAAGCTTGGTTTCTTTTCTGACAGAATGAAGAGCAACATTGTTGGCATGGAAACAAATATGGACCAGCTCCTTGAAAAGGTATATGGAACCTCTCCCCCTCTCTCTTGTGGGCACATATGTATGCACACTTGTTTGTGTGTGTGTAAATGCACAGGCGCCTTCTTGTGCCAATATAGGTGCGTGTAGCGGAGAATGCACTGATGAATCCTCAACTTTAGATCAGGACTGATTAACTACCCCAACTATGGCAGATAATGTCGGTTCAATCCAGAAGTGATGGTGTCAACACCTCTCTTTTCGAAAAGAGAGAGCACATTGAGAAATTGCATCGCACACGCAATCTACTACGGAAGGTTCAGGTATTTGACCCATAATGTATGATCCTGCTTTTTTGATGTTCTTATTATTTGGGAAGAATTTGGCGCAAAGTCCTCCAAACCTTGGACCATTATAACCTCACAAGGAAAGGATTTGATGGTTAGTAGAATAGCTGATTGGGAATAGTCACATTTCTAGCCTCTAAGTTGTATTTGGACAGGCAGCTCTGGTGTTGGCTCTGAGTGTTTTGTGGTAAGACATGCTAGTTGGTCTAGCCTTTTGTTAATGATGTGACTAGTCCTCATCTTTTATGGTACTACCATAATAGTTTCTTGACATATTGTGGGGATATTACGCATAGAGAGAACTTTTTAATCGTACATACTAAAGTAATGGTGGATGGTATCTGATATTCGGTACTTTCTGTAAGATCTGTTTTTGGCCATGTATGAGTTAAACACGTTTCATCTTCCGTGGACAGAACAGTTCATATATGATCTGCCGGCTAGACTTAACAAGTGCATCAAATCTAAAGCATATGCTGATGCAGTCAAGTTTTATACTGGAGCAATGCCAATTTTTAAGGTCAATTCTTTGTAGTCTTCTGTGTGCTCCCTTCCTCTTTATCTGTTAAAACAAAGCACAGTTAGATTGCCAATGAGACAAGGGAAAAGCTCTATCTCTAAAGCAGTCCTTAATTTTTTATATCTCTTTAGGCATACGGGGACTCATCGTTCCAAGATTGTAAAAGGGCTTCTGAAGAAGCAATGGCGACAGTCATAAAGAACTTACAGGTATAATATCTTTGAATGATGGTAATTTTCTTTCTAATATCCAAAACCTGATCAAACATCCTGACTGTGGATGTTAAATATGTTGCTTAGTGAAATCTCACAACAGAAGATGAAAGAATACAGAACCAATCTCTCATGATTTCTTGCAACAGTTATTGTTCAACTAATTTGCCTAAGTCAGGGGTCAAGCTTTCACTTTTATATTTCTGTAATTTCCTATGCCATTTTGGAGGATGAGCGTTGATTGCAGTTATGTTACTGCAATTTCCTATCCCCTATTGGAGGACTAGCATCGATGCAGTTATGTTACCCTTGATACTTACTGTTGACGGATTGAAGCGATTTGTATCTGTGTCTGAACTATTTAAGTTTGTTTTGGCTGCACGGATCTCTTATAGGTTTTTATTAGTAAGATTAGCAGTGGATCTTGCATGTTCATCTTGCCAAAACATTTGGCTTGGGAAATGAGGAAGAAAAAGATTCAGCCAGGTTAAAAGTTGAAATATCATTTATTTCACATAATCTGTTTGCCCAATATTTTCAAAAAATAAATTAGTCCATCTGTTTATGAACTGTAGCCTTATGTGGGAACAGTCGTACTGGTGGGGTTTTTCCTGCACCAGTTGAATTGTCGAGTCCAATAACTGGAAATGCTTAATAAATCAACTTTGAGGTGTGCCCTCAGTGTCCTTTTTAAATCAGCCCTTGAGAATGAGATAGTATTGACACTGCGCCATGTCATGCCAAAAGGTACTATTAGTGTTGAAGTAGTGTTGCACTTTTTGCGTCTGCTAGAAATCATAGCATTTTACAGAGGGAGTTGTTCCAAAGTCTTCACTTTTACCAACTGCAATTGGTTAACGAGTCATGAGATAGTCAGTTACGATAAATATTCTTAGGCTGAATAATGTGTCCACTATCCCCTTTGTTATGTTTGCGTTCATTAATTATGTATAACACACCTTCTTCCTATTGTTTTCCCCTTCCCTTTTGCGAAACTTTTCAGGGAAAGCTGTTCTCTGATTCTGAATCCATCCAAGCACGAGCTGAGGCTGCAATGCTTCTCAAGCAGTTAGATTTCCCGGTTTGTACTGCTCCATGACTTTCCTTTTTTTTAGCCTAGTGAATGAGTTTTAAGTACATTAGTGATTGTGTTTCGATCCCACTTGTTTGAAATTACAAATGGCAAGAGGAATAAACCTTTTGTTCTTGTTCTCTCTTATCAAGTTACAATTGGTTATTGCAAACTCCTGGAGTTTTGTCTCTTCTTGTCTAGATATTTTATGCTTGGATTTTTCTCAGAAGAGCTCGTCATAAAATATGAGCACTATGATTTATGCATTATCACCTATATCTATGATTGATTGCTTGGTGTTGGCAGGTAGAGAGTTTGAAGGCAAAGCTACTTGAGAAGTTGGAACTGTCTCTTATGGACCTTAATCTTAAGGCTGGAGAAACAAACAAATCTTCAGTGGATCCAAATGACAATTCAAAAGAAGGAAGCTTATCTGAGTTACTCTCCCCCGCCTCTCATGAGGTAAAAAGTGCATACGTTGCCATCTGGCAATTTAACGGAAAGGATTTGAAAGATTGTAATTCCAGAGATAGTGAAAATGTTATCACTCTGAGTTATTAGCTTAATCTCCTTGATCTTGAAGCTGACATAATAAAGCATGCTTCTTATCGTTATGATGTACAAGTTCTCCAGGATTGGCGTATTTTATAAGCGTGTCGAGAAGATGCATGACTTAGATTTTTGTGAACAAATGGCTTGTCTCTATAATTTGGCGTGGGCTTATCTATTTCCATGCTGCACAAGCTATAAAGTGATCTTAGGGGATAGCTTTCAATGATCACCTTCAACAAAAAATCCAGGATAAACCCTCCAATTTAATCACTATTTCTTATTTTCATGTTTCCCATTATTTCTGATTAGCTTCAGATGTTCTTCTATTATGTCGGAGAATAGATGCCCTCTTTTTCAGTGTCAGGTGTGAGAAGTGTTGATCTGACCTTTGAAAGTCTAGTAACCCAATTCCTGCTGGTTACATGCTTACAGATTTAAGTTGTGCATTGATCATTCAGAAGAATGGTAGGTAATGAACCTAGTTCAACTATGGCTGCGACCAGTCATTAGAAGACAATTGTGCCTCTTTTTTTATTTTTTTTATTTGGCTGATTAGTAAGAGTTTTCATAGAAATGGTGGCACCAAGGGGACTCCCGTTTAGCCTTCTTTTTATTAGAAAATGACTAGAGAAACTATTTATTTTTTCTATAAGAAAAAGTATTACTCAAAAAAGTTTCAAGGGGATAACCACCCCTTTTATAACAGCATATTAAATTCTATCAAGCCCAATAAAAAAACCCAAAGCCGAGTTAAAGACCAGAAAGGTTGCCTTGAACCCTGCAGGATGAAACCATTCACTCGTAGATTTACCAATTCTTTACTTCTAAAATCGTTCTCTGCATTCACCCCTCCCAATATGAAGTTCCTACATGTTCTCACATTGTCTTTAATCTTTTAAATCAAATGCCTGTACTCCCACTCAGCGAAAACAAAATTTATGGTAATTGTTTCCTTGGATACAAAATGCGACGCTGACATAAACCTTTTACCAGGTTTACTTGTTAACGTTTGTTCCTTCAAACCTCCTAAGAAAACTAAGGCTGGTTATTAGTAGCATCGTTTTAGTTCTCTCTGTCTCCTCATCTAACTAGAATCACCCTAAAGGATTTTCATTCTTTCCCCCTTATTTGAGGAGCGCTGTTCTTTTGTATGTTCTAAGTAGTTAAGTCAAATTTGCCACCTTCGACTATTCCTTTGCCACTTAATTAGACTACACTTCACACCTGTCACTGGAATATATATCTGTGATTTTGCATGTGGTCACTAGACTTTCAACCCCAAAATGTTCAATAGCAATTGCAACTTCAGATTCAGAATACTTGGATAATTCTTTGTACAAAAAAACATATTATAGTTCCACCACTTTGCACCAGCAGATTTAAAAGATACATTGATAGATTGAATATTGCTACTAGTGTTCTGTTTTGGAATTTTGTGGACCAACAATATAAGTCAGATGAATTACATGTCCATGTTGCTTCAATTAATTTGGTAATATGAAGCAATACTCTAATAAAATAGCCTGCTTAAGATAATCTACAATTTTCTCTAATGTAGATGTTTCATCCTTGTTTTTTGGCAGAGCAGATAGAACTGAGTTTTTGTTTGACTTTTGAGAATAACAAGAAGCAACAAACTAGTATAATTTGCCATTACAGCACTTTAATCTGATGTGAATGGGATAAATGAGCTTGAGATTAACAAGATTTCCAATGAGTTGTTTGGTATCTATTTTGTAATCTATCACCTGCAATTTAATAAAAGTCTCTAGCATCCTGACGAGGATAGTAAAAAGTGCAAAAAGGATTAGGTACCAAGAAATTAAGTGCAATAAACTCCATGAGGATTATTCTAGTGACACCTGTACAGTTGCAATGAGGTTATGATAGAGAAGTTAAGCATTTTGTTCCCCTACTCTGTAGATACACATGACTTGCATCTCCTTAAAAAATATACATTGCATTATCTTTAAACTGCATGCCTTTTAACTTGTGAAGTAGGCTTCTGTTCGGGAGTTTGTGGAGGCCGTCCGTGCTTATCGGGTCATATTTCCTGATTCAGAAAAGCAACTTAGTTCCCTTTCGCGGGATTTAGTTATCAAGTAAGTGTATTATCATTCATGTCTACTGTTCTCTTAGCTAATAAACTCCTTTTGTTGACATATATTTCTTGCATTGTTTAAGCAGACTTTCTTTGTTTATATAGGCACTTTGAGACAATGGAGCAGTATCTTCAGAAACGAATTTCTTCGACTGATCTTATTACCATCCTTAGTGAGTAACCTTGTTGCATTTTATCTAGGGCAGCTCATGCCTACAGTTTTATAAATAAGCTTTTGACTAGGATACTGGTTGCTTTCTGGGGATTTATTTGCTTTTGTTCTCATTAATCTAAGTTTTACTCTTTTATAGCTCTTTCACAATAAATCAATAGTATTCTTGCTTGTTGGGACATATTTATCGATGTGTACCTAGTAGGCTAGGAATGACTCTCCAAGAATGTTTGTTTTCATTTTCTTTTTGCTCAGTTGTCCAAAGAAATTACTCAATGCAAAATTGGAGTCCTTACCTTGAACATGCTTGTCAGAATTATTTTTAACTTGTATTCCAGTCAAATTAGGGTAGTGCGCAAGAGCAGGTCCTTAGTAATTAGTAAAGGCATTATTGGTTCCCTCCCTCCCGACCTCTAAAAAATTTGGGAAAATGACACAAATGGTCGTTAAACTTTGGTCCAATGTGTAATGTCGTCTTGGAACTTCTGATTTGTTCAATGTGGTCCCTAAACTTTGGCCCAATATGCAATATTATCTCTGAACTTTTAATTTGTTAAATGTGGTACTTGAAGTATTGGTAAATGTTCAATTTTCCGTAGACTATGTGAAAATGACGCAAACGGAAGGACTACATTGACTTATTACAAATAGTTTGGGGACCACATTAAACAAATTAAAAGTCCAAGGACGACATTGTACATTGGATATTGCACATTGGACCATGGTTTAAGGATTATTTGTGTTATTATCCTTAAAAAATTTAAAAAAGGTATAGAAAGGAAAACAAAAGGAAGAGATCTGCAGACTTGGAGCAATACATAGTCAGGAGGTTAAAAATGTCGAGACAATTTAGGGCTAGCTTTGCTTTGCCAATCCTTCCAAATGAGTGTCAGATGCCTGATGAGCTTCTCTTGTGGCCAAAAGATGCTTAATGAATTTCTGTCCTCATTTAACTGTAATATTGAGGGCCAGCTTCTTGGTGTTGTTCTTTACTTTAAATGATTACTACACAGTATTCTCTATGATCTGGGTAAAGTAATCAAGTCAAATAGATTATTGGACTTTTGGGAGCATCAAGTTTTGGTGGAAGTTACTGTGTGTTTTGGTTTGATAGTCGTATAGTTGGCTTTCGCTATAGTGATGCCAAGAACACAATGCCCGTGGCATGGAGCTGACTGTTATTTGTACTGTTTAGTGATAAGTGATGCTTGACGTCTTATCAATCACTGTATCATTCCATAAGATCATGTTTGAATTACTTTTAAGAGTGGACTTCCTCCAGGATTGGTTTACGAATTCATGATTTTAAGTCTTCATGATAGGGTATCTTATTACTTTGCCATGTCAATCCAGCAATGCTTAACTAAATCCCTGTCTTATACAGAAACAATATGGACTGATGTGATTCTGATGGATGAGGTCCTAAAGGAAGCTGCTCTACCTGAGTTCTCACTGGAGGTCCTGATTAGAAACCTTTACGCCATTGTTTTCTCACATTAGAATTCTTTAAGCAATTGCTAAAGTGATTAATTCCTTATGTTGCCTCCTTGTTTGGGTGAATTAGTAGATCTCTGTAGTGCTGACCTCTTCTAATTTTTCTCAGGCTGCCCAGGTTGCTGTCAAGAAGTATGTAGCTGGAAAATTTTCTTACCTTCTACAAGATATCTCAGGTTAATATCTATCCATATTTTCTTGGGGATCATTTAACATGAAAGGAGTTGTTAAGAATGATGATTTTATCATTCTGTTAAGTGTAATATTTTGAAAGTATTTCAGGACATTACTATCTTGCCATTGGTGAACTTGTGGATATAATTAAATACAGGACGTTTTACTACATTAATTGACATCCGCATCATCTGTGCATCACTTGACTGCCTGCCGGAATAACTTTTTTATTTTTATTTTTACAACTGCTAATTGATCTCGTATGACTATGAACTGACAGATGACCTTCTTAGGCGAAACGAGAACACTGTAAGTTATTCCTTGCAGATTGCCTTGGAAGCTGGCAAAGAAAGTGTTCTTCAAGGCAGCATAAATGTCTTACTGGTGAGAGATGCTTGCCGTGACAGTTTTACTGACTTTAAGCATGGAGTAATTGGTCTGTTAGTTTTATCTCATATGTCTTTTTATTTTAGGTTCACATCAATCCTCCACATTTGCATTATGCACTAGAAATGTATCTTAAGCTAATAGTCCCTGTATTGGCCTCACTCTCCTTTGCTCCTATTTCAGCAAGTTCCTATTTGGATTGTGAGCATTTATGTGATGCTTGAATCTTCACATTGTTTAGCAGTATTTTGTTCGGCTACTGCCTAATATGGCCTTTCTTAAAATTAGACTGTGAATTTTGGTAACAAATCTTTCTGACTCTTATTTTTTTTAGCAAATTTCTGACTCTTATTCAGTATATTTACCTTAGGACTTCCAGCAACTTTTGGAAGACGACTTGGGGTTACTAGTTAAACTGAGAGACTTTATTGTGGATTGGGTTCAAGAAGGATTCCAAGATTTCTTTAAAACACTGGATGATCACTTTAACTTGCTTTCTGGGAAGAAGAATCTTGCGAATAAAGAGCAAAGTACAATGGAGGTGACACAAAGTGATAAAGGTCTCTTGGGCCTTGTCCTGGTGCTGTCTCAAATCTCTGTTTTCATTGAGCAGAGTGCAATTCCGAGAATCACTGAGGCAAGGAGTTTAATATCATTAGCTGTCAAGTTTGATATTTATGGTTAATGATTCCCGTTATGCTTTTCATCTTTTATCATTGGGGCATGGATTAGAGCTTTTACCCAATTTTCTGCTTGCCAGGAAATCGCTGCTTCTTTTTCTGGTGGTGGTGTTCGAGGATATGAATATGGACCTGCTTTTGTTCCAGGAGAAATTTGTCGCAGATTTCGATCAGCTGGAGAAAAGTTTCTGCACCTTGTATGGTTTGAATTTTATCTCTTGAGAATCCATATGTACGAGTCTGAACTTTCACTCATGACAGACTAGTGATAAATCTGACCTGCATAGGTTGGAAATGGTACCATGTTGAAGCATTATCAGTTAGACCAGATGATCCCTTTTTGTGGATAGTCGATTGCATCCTCTGACATACTTTTGTCAATGTGGCCTTTAGGGTAGCAAAATCAGCACATTGACTCAGAAATTTTCAATTCAATAAACAGGATGTGTCTTCAAGCTTAACCTTTTCATAGCATTGCTGCTAACTGTGATTGTACTTTGGTGGGGGATACTCCGATTAAACAGGATGGCTCTTCAATTCAATGAAAAGGATGTGTCTCTGAATTCAACATTGCAAGTCTGGCCATCATTATGCTTTTTGTTTTTCAAGGGGCAATGTTATGGAAAACCCTCCAATTTTAAAATCTGAAGATGTTTTATGATGCTTCAGCTAGAAGTGACGCGAGAAGTTGTTCTTGGACCTTCTTGTCTTTTAGTTAAAAACATTGGGTTCATCTAACCTTATTCTTGTTGGTTTTTCTATTACTAGGACCAGTCAACTGCCTAGAGGAATTAGTTTTCTATCATGAATATGTGTACTAATTAGTATAGCCGAATTTCGTCTGTTCTGCCGAATTTCGTCTGTTCTAGTATTTAGGGATTTGAAGGAAGTTGATATTGTATCTCTTTTTCACAGTACATAAAAATGAGTACACAGAGGATCTCTGTCATCCTGAGAAAGAGGTTTACTACACCAAATTGGGTCAAGGTCAGTATGGTTATAGTTTCTTCGAGTGAGATGCATTTATTTTGCATTGGCCGTATGTTTCACTTTTTCTTTTCTGACAGCATAAGGAGCCTAGAGAGGTTCATATGTTCGTTGATTTACTACTGCAAGAGGTTGGCACTTCTTCTTTTTTTTGTTCTATTTCTAATGTTGCAGTATCCAAAAGAGAAGGAAGCTATGCCTTCAAATTATGCTACTGCTACATTCTTAATGGATAATCTACAATTAAAATAAATATGAAATCTTCTCGCCTTTAGTTGACATTGAGGTGATTTTATCTGTCATAGTTGGAAGCAGTAGGGTCTGAAGTGAAGCAGATATTACCCCAAGGGCTCCAAAGAAAGCATCGTCGTTCTGACAGCAATGGAAGCACTACATCTTCACGTAGTAATCCATTACGAGATGACAAAATGGGTCGATCTAATACCAATAGGGCGAGGAGCCAGCTTTTGGAAACGCATCTAGCAAAATTGTTCAAGCAGAAAGTGGAAATTTTCACTAAAGTTGAATACACACAGGTCTAGTTCCCTTCCTGCTAGGAAAATGTGGTTGTAAGCAGTCTCGTCATCAAATGATCTGAATCGATATCTCTATTTCAGGAGTCGGTCATAACTACAATCATAAAACTGTCTCTGAAAAGTCTGCAAGAATTTGTTCGACTTCAAACTTTCAATAGGAGTGGGTTTCAGCAAATTCAGCTGGATATTCAGTTTCTAAGGGCTCCCTTAAAGGAAAGTGCCGAGGATGAAGCTGCGATTGACTTCTTGCTAGATGAGGTAATTTATTATATAGTGCAAGATCAAGCATATCTGTGGTGGATATTGATTTGGGTTGTACTGCGGTTCAGTGTCAGCTTTCATCTCCCTATTCAACTCCTGTGTTGGTATAAGTATTCATAGATGTTACCTAACCTGGATAAAGGAGGACGATCTCAGGGAGTTGACACCTGGCTTAGTTGAATCTTCATGAAGTCAATCCCATGCCACTAGCAATTCTTGAAAAATCTTCAAAATTCTAATTTAGCGAAAATTTTGTGAGAAAGAATTCACACGCAGAAGCATCGACCTTCCCTCCAGCTTCTACCAATGAGTTTTTGGCTTTTCATTGTCATGCTACTCAGTGGTCTTCTATATTATTGTTGTGAAATTTTTTGTTGAGGATTGAGAGTAGAGTGTCGGCCTAGTAGACTAATCGTTTGCTGGAGCTGGGGGTAAGGTAACTGTCATGCTACTCCCATGTCATTCTGTTGTGTTTGACCTTCCATGCATCAATGACAGCTAAAACTTGTCCCTTGTCAGGATTAGATTTGCACAGAAAACAAGCTCCTTTTCTTCAGTTGTATGCATGGTTTCTGTTATTTCGCCAAATGTCTAACAAAAAAGTTGTGTTCGTGATCTGTTGACTTACATTTCCTGTTCTTAGCTATTTTGCATTGCTTGTCTCGAGTTTTTAGAATGCAATCGTGATGGTTCTCGTCATGTATGGGGCAGGTGATCGTTGCTGCTGCGGAGCGTTGTCTTGATCCAATCCCTCTGGAGCCACCAATCTTGGACAAACTAATACAATCCAAGTTGGCAAAAACAAAGGACTAGAACCGCTCTTTTTTAACTGGACATTAGTGATGATGTCCGCAATTTCTCCTGTTAATGCGCAACTCTTATTTCTCATCATTTCGTTCTTAAAATTTTGCCCTTGGTGCTTTACATTTGGTGATTCTCCTGTCTCGTTCGTTCCAAGTATTGCCATTGAATGCAATAACTCTGGACATATAAAGTTCTCATCAATAAATATAGGAATTCCTGTATGAACCCACTTAACTTTTTTGGCTTATGCCTCGTATGGTACGGGACATCGTCACCGCGAGAAACTTTAAATGCATGTGCTTTAGTCTTAGGCACAAGTTTAAGGCTGCATCTGGCAGCCACTTTTACAGAGGCTTTTGGTCTCTAAAAGCCCTTGGCCATATGCTAAGGCGTTTTGGCAAATTTTTTTAGAGAGCTTTGGAGAAATATTATTCATTTCCAAAGTTTTCTAGAGTCCCTTAGCACAAGATAGGTTCGCAGGAGTTTTGGACTTTAGCAATTTCGAAATGTTAATATATGTTTTTCTTTTCAATTTTGGCCTCGCTAAATTTTCAAATTCCAAAAATGCCCTCAATAATTTCCATCTCCTGTGACATTGCCAATGCTAGATTTGACTGCCAAAGAGCTTTACTTGAGGTCGGGTGACCCCTTGCTGAGGTTGACCCTTGTTGGGGTTGCTTGAGGTTGTGTGACCTTAGGCGATGGTCGCTTGTGCCAAATCTGGCTTATCAACGGCCCAAGCTCTTTGTCAGCATCCGGTGAAGGTTTAAGGTTCAGTTTAAAAAAAAAGAAGCTAAAGTCCTTGATAATTGTGGTTTTTCGAACAACATTTAATTAAAGTTGCTTTCCATTACATTTTTATATTATAGGTCGCTAATCACTATTTGCGTTACGAAAAAAAACAATTTAACCTAAATAAATTCTTTGCATTTTTCCAAAGACTTTTCTAAAAAATTGAGCCAAACACACCCTTCACTTGAAACTTGATGAGACAAGTTAGGAGAAAAGTCGTACTGTTTGGATTTATGTCCCGAGCCTTAGAAAAAAATTGATCTCATTACACTATAAAACAAATCCAAAGTAAAAACCGATTTTTTGTTCAAACTTTCCACACCAATGTGTATCCTTACTATAGGATGAATAACGATCATAACTAAGTAACAAATCGCAGTTAAATTTTTTTTCTCAATTACAACAATTCAGAGTCATTTTCTAAAAGTATCTTTTTGACCAAATTCGTAAACTACTTCAAGTCAAACCTTTTCTTTTATGAATCTTTGCCCATTTTTTCTCATATATGTATGCTTTAATTTTTGCTAATAATATCGGAAAATAACACAAAGTTTCTTTACATTCATATAATGTCGGTTTCTTTGTAAAGGGAGCTCCTAACTTAGCTCAAGATATTCATAATCTATTTTATGAAAAATTGGACCTTTCTCCCATTAAAAATTTTGTCCTAGGAAATGCTTCCATGCACCGTTTGTAGTTTGTACACGCGCGGGGAAAAACGACACAAGCCAGTCATCATATCAAAGCTCAAAACCGAACATAAAGCGAACTTCCTTTGACCGACCAACAACAGAACAGATGACATGAGCGAGCTTCTCAGACCGATTCTCCGGGAAGGAACTTCGTACCATTTCAGGCAAATGCTCTCCTCCTACACCTTCCTCTCCGCAAACCTCGCTCCGTTCGACACAGTACCCGCCCCTCTCCTCCGTCAGAAGCCTCAGACGCCGAAGCGCCGCCTTTCGTCGGAAGCAAGAAACGGCGGCGACGGAAGGTTCCGTCGTCCCTCGTGCTCCGAACGCTCGCCTTCGACGTCGGAATGTCGCTTTTCCAGCGATGTGTCGTGCTCCGGAGAAAACCCAGATGGCGATTCGTGCGACGACCCTTCTGGAGCTCAATGCATGAGCGATGATGTTCTTGCTTCTTGGCTGCAGTCGTGTTCTGGCGTGAGGGATGTTCAAAAAGTTCAAGCTGTGGCTTCGAAATGTTCAGGACCCAGTGCTGCTTACGTTAATAATAATCTGATGTCTGCGTATTTGAGATTTGGGAGGCTGGACGAGGTCAGGAAGGTGTTTGACGAAATGACCGAGAGGAATGTGGTTAGTTGGACTACGATGATTAATGCGTGCGTTAGGTTTGGCTTGGACAGGGAGGCTTTGAGGTTATTTCTTGATGCTCTTGGTAATGGGGTTCGAGCAAACTGCAAGACTTATGTGTGCATCCTGAATTTATGTAGCAGGAGATTAGATTTTCAACTCGGAAAACAAGTTCACGCCTGTGTTATCAAGAATGAGCAGCGGAACTTGATTGTTGAGAGTGCTATAGTTCATTTCTATGCACAGTGTGGGGTGCTTGATAGCGCATTTTGTGCATTTGACCGGATGAATGAGCATGATGTGGTGTCTTGGACGACAATCATCACTGCTTGTTCCCAACAAGGACATGGAAAAGAGGCTTTTTCAATGTTTGGGCGAATGTTAAGGGATGGATTATTTCCCAACGAGCATACTGTGTGTAGCATTTTGAATGTATGCGGCGAGGAGAAGGCATTGAAATTCGGGAGACAGTTACACTGCATCACATTTAAAAGGATGATCAAGAATGATGTTTTCATGTGGACGTCTTTAGTGGATATGTATGCAAAATGTGGGGAGATAGTAGATTCAAGAAAAGTTTTTGATGGAATGAAGAATAGAAACACAGTGACATGGACGACCATGATAGCTGGATACGCTCGGAATTGGCTTGGTGAGGTGGCCATACACCTTTTCAGGGAGATGAAGAGAAGGAATATATTTGCTAATAACCTCACCATTGTAAGCATTCTCCTAGCTTGTGGTTCAATCAAGAAGTTAGAGTTGGGAAGGGAAGTTCATGCACAGATAGTCAAGAAATCTGTTCAAACTAATGTCCACATAGGAAGCACTCTTGTATGGTTGTATTGTAAATACGGAAAGTATTCGTATGCCTCCAATGTCCTCCGCCAGATGCCGTTCAGAGATGTTGTCTCTTGGACAGCATTGATATCTGGCTGCGCACATCTTGGGCTGGGATCAGAAGCACTTGAACGCTTGAAAGATATGTTGGATGAAGGTGTGGAACCCAATGCCTTTACGTATTCATCAGCACTAAAAGCATGTGCTAAGCTAGAAGATCTTTTCCAAGGAAAGTTACTTCACTCCTCTGCAAACAAAACTTCTGCCTTGTCTAACGTGTTTGTTGGTAGTGCGTTAGTCCATATGTATGCAAAATGTGGATACTTAGCAGAGGCATCTCAAGTTTTTGACAGCATGCCGCAGCGTAACCTGGTAACGTGGAAGGCTATGATAATGGGGTATGCAAGGAAAGGGCATTGCCAAGAGGCTTTAAAGCTCATGTATCGGATGAGAGCAGAAGGTATTGAGGTGGATGACTATGTACTCGCCACAGTTCTCACTACATGTGGAGATTTGGAGTGGGACAAAGAACCTTCATCAGAATATTGCTTGCAATCTAGTTGACATTTCAGCTCTTAATGCGATTTCCATGGAAACCAATTGTGCATGAAGTAGTCATTGGCTCCCGGATGACGATCCGTATACAACCATTGGCTCAGGAATAGATGATATACATGTTAAAGAAATGTTGCCTGGGTGGAACAGAAAGTCTGCCACGAAGGTTGATTGGCCTGACTTCTGAGTTATATCCGGTATATCCACCCTCTTCCATGCAGCAATATCAAGGAACGTGTGACGGAGGAAAGTGGGGCATGGAACTCCTTAACATCATATAATTTGTCATCTCCAGGAAATGCCAAAGCTCCGTAAACATTGGAGAGCTGGGTGTGTGGGTGGCTGAAGGAAAGGGAGAACTGACGAAACGTACATAACGAGAAAATTCATTTGTCACCTATAATGTATTTGTGATCGGTACATTGCATAATATTCATATCACTTTAACTGGGAAATTCGTCTGTATCGATAAAGATGTGGACGTGCAATTGTACATGCATAATGATATCCAATACACAATCCCTAAGTCAAGCGCTAGGGAAGATTTTGCAAGTCGCGTGTTAGTAATTTTGTTCTTGGTATTCCCACTTGTTAAACAAGACAGCACTGAGCTGCAAATACTACTGAACGCATTGCCGAGACCATAAGACAACTGCCAGGGCTTTCAAATATTTAGATTTGCCTTTTTCAACTGGCTATGCTTGTTGAATTGAATATGCCTGCAACCTTTCTCTGCAGAAATATAAGAAAGAAACTTCTGCTGCTTTGATTGTTAGTATTAACTAAACTAAACAGTGTCACGAACTTGGTCTTTGGCCTTCTTCGTCCTTCCCAGATTGCGCATTAAATAAAATCTCGTGGGAAAAGCTTTTTCAAGTTTCCTATCCGGGTGCAATTACGTATTCCTGCTTAAGATAATGACATGTCAACAAACAAGGATCCAACATCTAATATATGAAGTTGGTCTCTGTAAAGTACCAAGTCTACATGCCAAAACCATGTTTCTTATATTATCGTTTATCGAAAGTCACTGCTCACAGAACAGCTCTCTTTTTGTGACCAGGAAATCCGAAACTCTATGAAATATAATTTGCTATAATGACCATTGCATAACGGAAACTACAAAGAATCAAAATGGCAGCTATAGAACAGATAAGCACATCATGAGTACAGTGAGTTGCAGACCATAGTGATCAGTTGCTTCATGCCATCTTGGCATTTCCGACCGTTTCATGCCGGCAATCTACACTAACAGTGAAAACCCACAAAATTTTGGCCAAAAAGTGAAAACTCGGCCTCAATCATACCCTTGTCCACTCGTTTATGGAATGAATGATTCTCTGAAAATTCATACTCAAAACATATATTGTGCTCAGGCACATAACTTGCAGGCTTTGGCATCAGCATGAGAATGTACCAGTTCCCACCGCAATAGATCCATGATCTCCACACCTGATTGTGTCAGCATGTCTTCTCGAGAATAATACACCAGTTTGATTTGTCATAAAAACGATCAACAACTATGATGTTGTCCATGCCAGATACCAACCTGCGAATGCCAAGACGTTAATTTTATCAGCTGAACACAAGCGCCATGAGAGAGTATGGGCGGGAAGTAATTTCTTGCAAAACGGTTTAAGGAATAAAAACATCAAAACCTTTAGTAGCAGCGTAACCCCAACAGGTAGAACTTTTTAATTTGATCCGAGAATTGCTCAACAGTGTATACGATAGAACTACCTTAAAAGGAAGCATGATGCCAAAAGACCCATAAAGAGCATGTAAAATTAATTTAAAGAATTGACAAAGAACACATAAAATTGTTGTATCTATGTTAATGATGAGTAGTTGTATCTAAAAACATATTAAATTGATTTACCTCTCAAGCTCACCCTCACCAAAGACATGGTAATATCTATTATACACTACGGCACCCTTCTTATCATCCTTTTTTGCCAAACCACTTGCAAGAGCAGTCATGGAAGCTCCACTGACTTCAGCACGATGATAGGGTAAGTGCCAAGGTACAAAGTATTCCTGTTGATCCTTGATATTCTTTTCTTGTCTCGATGCCAATGCCTCATCCTCTCCACAATGATTTAAATTCTGAGTCTTCTCTGGCTCCGCAGCTATATTAACTGTAACTTCCCTCATGCTCTGTACGGAACTGTCATCTGTCTCTGGGATGCTTTCCAACATCAAAGATGAAGGGCTGCGAACTCGGGGACTTCCTGGTCCTACCCATTCTTCCACATATTTCGGTGCTAGAGGAGTCCACTTGGTAAGCAATGATCTATCTTCCTGTTCTACAGCCCAAACAGTTATCAGAACCAGTCCGCCCTTTTTCACGACACGAACTAACTCTTCAATCGCTCTTTTCCTCCTATTCTCCGTACTCAAGTGATGCAACACGGCTATTGAGATTGCAGCATCCCCGAAACAAGTTCTGTAAGGAAGATTGACAGCATCCGCAACCAGAACCTCATGCTCTCTATCTGCACATATTTTGATCAGGGGAGCACTTATATCGCATCCAATGAAATAGCAATCGGGATTCAAGCCCAAGTACTTCCCATTTCCACAACCTGCATCCAAGATGAGCGATCCTGGAGGCAGAGTTTTTAGAAAGGTGGCAACCTTTGGCCACTTAGCAAATCGAGTGGAACTGAAATGAGGAGCTATAGCGTCATAAACACGGTGAACATACTTCTTTTCTATTTCCGGGGTGTACTCCACATTTCTGGAGGAGCATTTCTCGTCGTCACATGTGGAAGCAGATTTCTGGATTAAGTCGCTACCACATCCAGTGGAAAAACTGTTATCTTCTCGCATAGTACTATAGGTCTTAGATAGCCAGGCCCTTGAACTTGTTGGAACACGCAATGCCTTCCGAGTTGCGGACGAGCATCTATTTTCTCTCAGGAAGGTATTGATCATCAACAAGAAACACAGTGGCTAACCAGACACAAGACTGGGGAACAAGAAGACTAAGTTAGAAGAATGACGTAATTAACTTTCCAAAGCATGCCCCAATCACACTCAGGATGGAAAAAAGAAATGCGGTTGTCTAGCAAAGTTCAAGAGAGAAAAATCTCAAGTGCCATCTCGCGGAATTCAGCAGAAAATTGCTAGGGCTCTAAATGTTTCATTGAAATACATCACAATACAGCCACACCTTCGTGAATTTATGGAAGTATGCTGATAGGTCCAGCAACATTAAATGATGTCACAATCAGACCTATCCCGCGATTAAATTTTTAAGTTTTCTCATTTTCCCCGTAATTTCATCCATCGGTTGTAGCTCATGCATAGACCTTTGTGGATCATTTTAATTTCCACACTACATGGAGCACTTCCAGGAAGCCAAGTAAAGCGATAGCAGATGACGAAGGCCAGCAGCGTGCCTTAAAATCAGGAAGAATAGGTCCAAAGAAGACGAGAACTGCTTCTTGAACCGGCTCTACAACCCCAAAACGCAAGTGCAGTGCACCAGCACATGGGGTTGTAGAATGCACAACAATGCCTAATCAACCCTCGATGATGACCGAAGCCGCACTTCGCTCTCACAAAATCTCAACATGCAAAGAGGAGGGAACAACGCCACATCTAAAGCAGGTCGTGAAAACAAACGTTTAGCTCGTTCGAAACGCATAACGAAACGGCAGCGAAAGTCCTAACACGCAAATTTAGCAAAGATTCCCAAAATGCTACGAACAACAAGAACGACGCGAAACATGCTTCAAAGCTCAAATGCATCCAGACAGTCTTCAAAGTTCAAATGCACCATTGCCCCCGAAACATCCTCCGCCACGCCTCGGGTCAAAATTCACCGGAAGGGAAAAACTTTTGACATCATATGGGCAAACGCGCCCTAATCCAACCGCCATCGGCACCAAGAACAACCAACCCACCCACCCACCCAGCAAACGGGAAATTCAAAAGCCCTTTTTTACTTACTTCCCAATCACGTCCTCGAGCAGAACCCCGATAACGGAAGAGACACCCCCAACCAAAGAAAAAAGCGAAGCCGACGCCGCCGCCGCCGCCACAACACACACAAAGGAAAGAAGGGAGAGTCAAATCAAGAACGGACCCGAAGCGCGAAGCAATCGCGTCATCATCACCATCATCAACTACAGAAGAAACGGACGATTCCCAGCATGGTTTTGGTCGAGCAGAGAAAGAGCACCTCCGTAAAAATTTTCATCCGCGCAGCATCGAGGATTGACGAGAGAGAGAGAGAGATGCCGAAGATCGACGAAAGCTGAGGGGGCTCGAAGAGCGAGATGGAGACTCCCCCGCCCACAACGCTCAGCGGCCGCACGGTTCGGGTCGGGTCGGGTCACATTGGCCCGGGCCTATTGGACTTGCGAGCTCTTGAGTGGTAACAACTCGGGCTCTGTCCAGGCCCGACATCCGGGCCTGTTTTGCGGTTCGGGCCCGGCCCAGTAGATGAGTGAGGTGGGCCGGGCCCGCCGACGATTTTTTTGTTAATTATTATTTAAAAGAATTATTCGATTTTAATTTGGCGCCACCAATGATATTCCATCGCCTCTTCAATTTCAATTCACTGAAATCAGAACACGAAGCATTTGATCTTTTCATAATATTGACTAGGGATAGCATTGAAAATTCTAAAACTTGTCACGAAAGTGCAATTAAGTTCTAAAACTTTTAAAAAGCGCAATCAAGTTTTAAAACTTCCAAAAAGTGTAATTATGTCTTAAAACTTGTTACGAAGATGCAATCAAGTACTAAAACTTTAAAAAAAGAACTTAATTGAACCAATTTAACAAGTTTTAGGACTTGATTGTACTTTTTTAAAGTTTTGGGACTCAATTGCACTTTCATAGCAAGTTTCAGGACTTCCAATGCGCTTATCCCTATCAACTAATATGAGGTTTTGTGATGATACGAATGGACGTGAATTCATAAGCATCTCCCACGCGAATATTCCAAATATTTTGTATTTCTTTTTCTTGTTGGCGGCCCAACGAATACTAGCTTTTATCGTTCCAACATAAACAAGAAGTTTCTCATAGGAATTTAATAATGCGGCGACTCCATATAGTCGTTGATTAAAATAAACCTCTTAATCTTTCCACCCATGAAGCGGTGAATAATTTACCATTTTTTTAAGAGTGGTCGAAACATCAATTGACTAAAATGAGTAATAAGTCCTGTCGGGCCACTTTTCATATTCCAATGCCCAAAACAAAAATAAAAAATTCAATAAGTGATTAGGTTGAAGACTTTGCTCATTCGGGTCATGGCAATTTGGAATTGTTTCGAGGGTGACTTTGCTAGAAATATACTGCCATGTTTGTACGGGGCTTTTGGATAATCACCGAAACATCTAAAAATATTAATCATCCATTCATCTCACGGTTTAAACTTTTAAAATACCGTGATTTTTCTTTTGCACATGTTCAAATATACATGTACTTCGCATTTACATCTTTGTTTATATATAATTCTTCGATGCCGGACGCTCTCCGTTTTTTTTTTGAAGCCGCACAATTATGATCCAATTCATTAAGTGGAAAAGTAAGAAGGTTTACCTTGTCATTAGCGAGTTAAGAAGCTTGCCGGTAAATATGAAAAAGAAAGAAAAACACTTCATTACATCATTATAACACATTATTAGCATATTCTACTATAGTCGCTTTGTGTAAGTATTGTTTAATATAAGTTTCATTGAGATTATGAGATGACCAGCGGAAGAGATGATATTGGTAGCCATCGGCATGGCCATGGCCGTGGCGATGGCGATGGCGATGGAGTGGAAGATGGCTAAAGGTATCGGTTAGCGTAGGGAGGGGTAGGTTTTCTTTCTTCCACGACTCTAAATTAACACGCGGCCCATGTGGGTACGGCGGTGCGTGAATAGAGACACCAGATGAATACAAAAGGGGAGGGCATGCTCCTCCCACGCTCCAGTGAAACTTTTTTCCTCCTGCACCAATTGAAGTGGCATCAATCAAAGCCAAGCAATTCTCTCCGACCACGACTCACTGTTTTCCACGAGTTCAGGTTTTGTTTATGGCAGCCATACACTCTCCCTTGCTTCAAAAAGCCATCCCATCTTGTCTTCTTTGTCTCGACAGCATCATTACAAACACCGATGAAAGCGAACCATGTGCGGTGTGGCCCGAACTACCATAGCTTTCCTCCTCAAAACTTAAATTATGCGGGGGCAATTTCACAAAGCTAAGAATATTTGGCTCCACGTTTGATTTTGTCAACGTTGCTTTGCGTTGAGGTCACATCAAGTGGATCTATTGGACATTGGACTCTCATACATTGGCTTAGTCCCGCTTACGTTTGTTTCATATGTGGAATTATGACGTCATCATTCACGTGGGAGCCGACAGGAATCCAGAGTTTGGCAAGTTCGAGGAAAAGATCCTGTTGAAAGTTCACTATAGAGATGTTTTATATTCGTATTTGTAACGAATAGATGATGTGCAGTGGAAGACTATGGTTTAAGGTTTTTTGGAACGAGTGATCCAACAATATTTTACATTATATCAAAAGAAAATTTTACTTTTCGTTTCCATACCATTACGCATTTTTCTCCTCAAGTCCGTATACTTTTGTCTTATCAAGTCCCTTTGGTCTATATTACCTAAAATTTTCCACACATGTCCACGTCGTCATCCTTAAAAGCTGATACTGAGTAAAGGATCCGCGTCCTCGATAATGCACATGTCGATCCACAGTCCATCACAAGCACATGCAGACCAGAATGAGGTGTATTGTCTATCGACTATATAATGACAAAACACAATGTCAAGATTTGATGACACTCAAAAGCTTCAAAAATTTCATGGATATAAGTCATGCTAATTTAGGGGAAAATATTTTCTTACAAATGATCACTAATATCGCTTGTAATAATTCATCAATAAAAAATATTTTCATTATCAACAATAATGTATATCTAAAAATTTTCATAGACGAACAGAATTTTTTTCGTACCACCCGCTTGGGTGGCGCTGCTGGAAAGGGCACTCTTCCTCTCGCAAATGGTTGGGTGTTCGAATCCCGGGCGCCGCAGGGTGACTTAACGGTGCGCGTATGTGGTGGCTAAGCACGTGTCGCCCCAGGGTTCTGCTCCATTTGTCGGCGGGCGGGGTTCCTGGGTTACCAAAAAACAAAAACAAAATATTTTTCGTTCTTTCGCTTTTGTAAGCAATACAAGTAATCATTTTTAGGAAATTTTTTTACAAATCATTCATTTTTTGCGAAAATAAATGTAACTTTAACTAAAAATAAATGGGGACAATGCCCACAATTGTTAAATCTACATATCAAAAGACTAATCGGAGGAAATTTCATTGAACTAGCGATCATGGAAAATATGGTCATTTTTCAAAAAGTACACATTTGGTCCATGAAAATGCACTAATTTTTTCCAATTTCATTTTCGAACTTGTATTTATTCAAACAAGTTCTTGAACTTGTAGAACTACTCCAATTGTGTCCCTTCATCTGTAATTCCAACATATTCTTTAAGCTAACATAGACTGAAATTTTGGAAGAGCATACTTTTGTATGAAGTGAATGATAAAATGAAGCAACGAGTTTTCAATGAAATTCGACCACCTCTTCAACTCCAATTCACTGAAATCAGAGACGAAAGCATTTGATCTTTTCATTATATTAGATAAGATCATGCTTTGTAATAACACGAAATACGAATCGACACGAATACATAAGCGAATTTCACAAAAAAATTTCTAATACCCTGTTCTTGTTGGCGGCTCATTTCATAGGAATTAATAATGCGGCAACCCCATATAACCTTAACTAGTAAACTCCACAATTTTCCACCCACAAAACGGTGGATCTATTGCCATTTTTGAAAGTGGTCGAAGCATCAATTGATTAAACTGAGCAAGTCCGATCGGGTCACTTTTCATATTGTAATGCCCAAAATAAAATAAATAAAATTATAATAAGTGATTA